AACGTATACATAATAAACGATTTAGGTCAGTGGTAATTCACGCAATTCATGCAATAATAATTTTTATACGAATTAATTGTAATGTCTCGAGTCTAGACTCCAAACACCATTAAATCATTAAATGTATTGGTTTAACTATTGTATTTTTTTTCGTAGTTATTATTATTATTATCTTTTACTGTGAATACTTTTTTGGGTAGAAGGAGTGTTAAAAAATATAATTTAGCATTTTTATGTACCGGATGACAAGATTGAAAATTACTTAGAACTAGTTATTTTTCGACTTTCTTAATAATTTTTCTAAAATAAAAACTATTAACGATCATCAAAAATTTTCTGAAAATTGTATAAAATCTTTTTGTAATACAATGATTTTTCTAATTGATCTTCGGTTCATTTCGCCAATAATTATTTTCAATAACTATGTAAAACATTAAAATGTATCTAAAATATGAATTACAGTACCTACACGACGTAGTTACAGTTAAAATGTAATAATCACTAAAACATTAATCAAGTGAATAGGTCTAATTCTTAATGATTAAAATTAATAAAATACAATTATTATGAAACTTTAACTATAGGTAAAAAAAATCTATTTTGATTTCCGGCCTTGTTATATAGATCGATAATTTTTCCCAGAAGAGTTGGTAAAAGAAAAAAAAATACGTCTTAGCAAAGTATATTTTTTTTAATGATAATTATACACCGTGTTATTAGTATTGCCCTAGTTTCAAAATTAAATTAATAGGTAGCTCAAGTTCAATATTGTGTATTTATTTAGTTGTAAATTAATTTATCGTATAAATACGAACAGTTTCGAATTAACAAAGGTCAATTGAATTAAATTCATTTTCAAGCTTGCATCATTTGTGAATTTAGCGTAAAACTACCTCTTCTATAACAGTAAAACAATATAAACTCTGGTATGCGAAATTATAACAACAGTATAATAGATAGATACATTCTGAACCATAAACTGTTTGTTTTTGTTGTATATCTATAATCTATATACTAATGATCGAATAATTTGCAGAAGGTTAGTAAATAATCATACATGAATCGTATCCAATTAAATAGAATTAATGATAGTTGCTTCCTGATTTAATATTTTAAAATAATTCAAAACTTACAGTTTAGTTTAAACGCTATATTATATTGTTATCACAGTTATCAATAATCTAATTTATAAACACCTTCTTTATAATTTTATAGTTAAACAGAAAATCTAAAAATAATAACTAGGGTGACAAATAAAAAGTACTGATTTATACTAATTTTTTTAACTTTATCTCCATTAAATATGAAAAAAAAATCATTAAATAAGCAATGTATTCTCTAAAAAATATTGTATTGATAAATATCAGTTTTCAAGAGCTTTTACAGATAAGTTAATAATTAATAATATTTAAATTATTTTTTAAATGTATTTATTTTTGTGTTAAAATTGTCATAAAAAAATATTTAAATATATATTATCATTCAAAGTTTAAGTATTTAAATATCTAATTGAAATACATTTTCAAAGAAGTCTTAAAAATATGGCTATTTAAATTTATTTTTATTGTAATGATTGTTATCGACATTTGATAATTCGGTGCACTCATCACCTATTTTTTAGTTATTTCTTGAGTAGTTTAAGAAATAATTCAAAATTCTAAAAAAGATTCACAGTTTTTTCAAACTGAATCCTGGGGCTTAATCTTAACATATTATGATAAACATTAAATTATAAAATAATTGGTATTATCGTAATGAAAATGAATATACAGTTGTAGATCTATATTAATCGCATGTTTGTCGGGAAAACGATTTTTATATTCGTCATAAAACGTCATAATTACCTACATAATTTCCCAATTCAATTCAAAAACCACTCCGGGAATGTTTATGAAACTAACAAACGCATCATGAATGATTTTTGTCTGTATAAGATTCGCATACTTTATTGTGAGTACGTAAAAAAATAAAAATAAAACGGTGAAACGAGGCGAACTCGGTCTCACGTACCTTCTTGTCACATACGCGTAGGCGATAGGATCTCTTTTTGCAAATATCGTACACCGCGATTGTTATTAGCACATTTTCTATGACGGTTTATAAGTATACATTTCGAATCCCATTTGACGTGCTAATCCATCGGATCCTGGATAATGGGAATAATTGTAAGCGATTGACATGTACACAACACAATGTAGTTTGAAACGAGCGTTTTGGAGCTTATTATTGCAATTAGTCACACGGTTTGATTATGTCTTTCCGATTTTACGCTACACGACCGTGACAATAGTTAGGGTTGTTAAAACATTACGCGTCTGCAATAAAATCGGTAGTTATAATAAATATCCCGGACGAGCAATGGTAACTCGCTACTATATATAATATGCAAGCGCCTACATTTCTATTGGTAATAATTAATACCTACATTCATAATTTAAATCTCATATTTTGCTTATTATATTATTTCTCTTTAGTTTTACACTTACATCAACATAATAAAATATGGTCGTATTTTTTTTAAGTATTGAATTACCTGTCATCGATAGTTAATGGCTATTTATTTAGTAACCATTGATACAACTAATTCTTAATATTTAGAGTGGAGGAGGAATGTGTAGCCTAAACAATTCAAAATTTGAATAGATTCATACCTAGTTGATAGAAAGAATGGGGATGCTAGGCGAGTTACTCTGTTTAATCCTAAACAATTACCGGCCTACAAACAGGTTGTTCATATATTTATAGTCAGAGCTACGAAGACTGTCTAAGGCTATCGCATAATATACTTTTATTAGAATTAGCCCACTATTTTTTCAAACGTACCATACAAAAATAGATAATTTTATGGACATTTTTCTGCTTTAAATTTTTTCCATAAACCATGCAATAATATATAAATAGTAAGAAGCAAATTAAGAACTAAAAGATAATAAAAAATAGATTACTTATATTGCTCATGAAAATCATTAAGTTATACATAATAAACCTAAAGATAACAAATGCAGCAAAAACAGTGTGAAAAAAATAATAGCACTTAATATTTACATACGAGTAAACATTTTCACCAATAGAATAATTTTTAAAGTTTCAGTAATAGCGATAGGAAAATCTTTTAGGCATAATACTATAGTATTCAAATTTACATAGTTTTTCTAATCGAATATTGCTTTTACTATTTATTTTAATAATATAACGTAGCGAACAAGCGAATGCAATCGTTGTATTTTATAATTGTTAGTTTATTACCGTTGTCATTTATCAATTACTACCGTATTGCTTAGAATTGTGATAATAACAGTGGTTAATTGCGGTTAGTACGATATTCATTTGTTCATTAACCCATGTAAATTATAACCACGGTTTTACCATAGAAATAGAGCGATTCATAAATATATGTTATTGAGATGGAAAACCAATGATTTATAAATTATTTTTCTTGCAGATGTGGAGATATTTAACTTTAATTTTTGTACGAATGTATAACAATGGTAACACAAATTTATATATAAAGCGTTACGTAAATCGGCTTTAAAAAAAGTTATTTCCAACTCAAAAACGTATTTATGCTAAAAATACGATTTGATATTAATTATATACATAATAGGCCATCAATTGGAAAAATGTTAAAGCTACCACGCTTTAACTCCTCTCTGTAAAAAATAAATTTTAAAACCAAAAATCAATAAAAATGAACGAAAACTTATAGAAACAACATATTTACCTTAACTATAGAAATGGTATTTATATTAATATTTTATCAACGTTTAGTATAAGTATTTAGTTTTTTCACCACGTACCAATTTTAAATCACATTAGTCATGAAATTTTAGTATGGTTATGAATATAGTAACTAATTTATTAAATCCAGTAAAATCTTGAATATTATAAAGTTAGAACTTTTTAATTGTATTGATATTTTTGACTATGATAATATAATGCGTGCGTGTGTGTGTGTGTGTGTTTAATAAATAAATGGAATGTTAAATAAACTTTTGATTGTTTTTCTTGTTTGTTCAACATTTTTCTGTTTTTTATCTACTCCGATCAACAAATCTTTTAGATCCGGCTACGCGATGTTCCCGCCCTATTATAGAATATGTTCTTCATCGAGGTTGGGTTACCTAAGGCTATCGCGATCGTCAATCTGTTCCCATATAGGTATTTATCATTATCGAAATTTAACAGGTCATGCGTGTTAAACTTATAAATTCTTGGTCATTGGAAATCGCGTGGATGGTTTTGTTTGAGTTTCACGGAAGGCAGCCGCAATTCTTTTTGAACATTGTACTTATATAAACATTATAACTACCAACGGAAGTTTACACCTCTGTGTACACTATATAGTGTACGCATTTTATTATAGGCATACACGCGTGTTGCAGTTAGGTGTTTGCGTACACCGAACACACCCGTGACGTAGAAACGATTCACACTTTCGACGATTGAAAAGTACCTACTGCGAATTGCGTTAGATCTATGTAGTACTGTCGCGAGATGTTAAAAATAAACTAAGCTGTCTGTAAGTTTTAAAATATAGTAAGCTATAGGTACAATAATAGTGTCAGAACGCTTAGAATTTAAATCACGGTGTAATTATTATTATTATTGATTTATTTTTAACCTTACTGTAAAATTGGTAATTGTTTTTAAAACTTATCTTTGAAAATAGAAGACAATTTAATTTTTTAATAATTAAGAAATATTTATTAGTAATAAAATATAATTATTGATAATCTAAGAAATTAAAAACGATATAACGGGATACAATCGATGACGTATGAAAATATTTTAAACTGCGAGGTGTACGGTGTACCCAATCGAGTGATAGGTTTAAGGTCTAATGTTTGGTCGTATTTAAAACAACTTTAAATGTAAAAAAAAATATCGTACCTATATCGGATTACTAATGTCTAATGTATATCCCATATCTAATTACTTTAATAATTTTATGATATTCGACAACTGTATATTATTGTTAACATTTGGAAAATTTTTTGCAGAATGATACCTCAGCATGTCCCAGGATTGCTTGACTGCTCTTCGGCTGCTGTCGTACTGTTGGCTGACCTTCATGTTGCCGTCCAGCAATTTGGCATTTAACGTCGTCTACAATAAGGAACCGTTGTCTTCATCTTCGTTTCAGTCATCCACTTTCTATCAAAGTATGTGCACACGATCTGATATATCCATTACCTAGTCGATGTTGTGTGTAGTGTAATATAACAACGAAAGCAATTTTTTACCGATTTTTATTAATATTAATTTACACATAATGTTTTTCTTATTTCAAAATTTTACACATAATTACTGAAACTTGAAACTTGATAGTACCGAGTATCGATTATCGACTTAAGTTTACAGGACGAGTAAAATCCAATGTATAATAAATTCTCTACAATTTTTTTACTACGCCCGCCATTGATTATTATAATAGTATTTTTTTTTTAAACATTATTCTTTATAATATAATTTTACTTAACTATATAATTTACTAACATAATATTATTTTCCTATTATAAACGAAATATGAACCGCTTCAAGGTGGATCATAAAATATCCATGTGTTATAATTTTATAAATAAGTCATTTTTCCAACATTTTTATATAGGTAATCCTATTGTCTATACGATAAACCGTAGCGAATACCATACTTACAAGTGTTGTCAATATTTTTATTTTAATGAGGATTGCTCATATCATTTAAAAATTAAAATATCGTAAAAACCAACTAAAGAACACAGAAAAGTTTAATCGTGTATAAATAAAATTAATCTTAAAACTAACAATAAAAAATAAGTTTTACCCAACGAAACTTTGCTGTGTTGTACGTTTGTATAACAACACATATACGGTTGTTGCCTTTTCTTAATATAAAACATTACTATGCTCAAAAGCTAGTAATAATAAAACGTGTTAGGACAATATTTTCAATTAATGTTGCCGTCATTATGTCATGTCCCGTTTGCATTAAATATGTATACGTTTATTATTATTATAGTGTATAAGTAATAAGTCATTCTTAAGTAAACTCAAATCTCAATAATCTAGAGATAAATTTTTATAAAAATTATTCATATACTCGTAAACATATACAACGCAACACTATATAGGCATAACCGCCTTTGGATTCGAAAGAATTGAGTCTCACGACCTTAAAATATTTTTAATACACTAATGATTTTATTGGTGTTTATAAATGCGACCTTTAAGCGCCTACTTCCAAAGTTCTAAACAAATGAGTTAGGTATTTTTCCATTGAAAAAGCCAACGACTCGACTTCATAAAATTAAAAAAGTTTGTTTGAAATCCTCTTATATCAGATTAGAATTAACATATAAATCGCATCCTTTCGAGTAGATTATGCATAAAAACGCTTGTGATCCACCCCGCGCTAGTAATTAGTTATATTTATGTATTTATATTATTTATACAGCTTAACGTAATACGTTTATTAATGATTTTGTAACATCCATCACGTTGATCTATCTGTTTCAGCCGGTAGCAGAAAATTTGGCGGCTACCGAATTGTACCCCGCGCGTGCAAAGACGACACTCACCCGTTCAAGAACGATGTATCCATCACCACCCCCACGGGAACCGGAACCGGAACCGGCGTGTGCATGTTCAACTACGAGTGTACGCGGCTAGGCGGTACGGTGGTCGGGTCGTGCGTGGACGTGTTCCTGTTCGGCGCTTGTTGTCGACTTCCGGCCGGCGTAAAAGTGCCCGCCGCAGTCGAGCAGAGCGCGTCCACGGCCGCGGCCGTTACGGCCACCGCCACCGCCTCGACGCTTGGCTCGCACCACAACGACCTGCCGCCGCTATCGTTCCAACAGCCGGTGGCCGACACCATATTGATGCACCACAACGGATCAGCCGTGCAAAACACTTATAGGCCGGACGACTTTTTTGATAACTTCACAGCCCTCATGCAGGCCCACCGCGACCGGTTGCCGTCGGCGGCCGACATGACGGACGTCATGCAACAGTACACCACGGACGGCGGTTACCACCAGAACCATCACTATCAGCACCGGCCGCAGTCGTTCGCCGACAACAAGATCACGTCCAAAGTCGATTACGGAGACGCGGTCACTGCCAAGCTGCCGCCGCACTTGTCGTCGTCGTTGTCGCCGGTGTCCAAGTCGACGGACTCGGTGCCCAACATCCGGAAGACTACCCCGTCTGCGACTACCGTCCAGGTGACCACGTCCAAACAGGGTTACGGCGGCGCGCATTTCCACAACAACCACAAACACCAACACACGTCAACGGCCTCCGACGACTATTATGACAACATGGTGTTAATACCCACGCTGACGGTCAACGACCCCAACGTCAAGGAAAACAACTCCATCAACCACATACTGTCCATACTCAACTACACGCCGCCCGCGCCGGACAGGCACCAAGCGGACACGATGGACGCGTCGCCGTCGTACGTCGTCCACCAGGTGACCAGCGCGCCGCCGACGGCACCGCCAGCGCTGTACACGTGGGGCTCCATCGAAGGCGGCGATTCCAAGTCACCTGGTTACGGAGCGTCCACGTTCCCGGTCACCAGGCCCTCGTCCACGGTCCACTCGTATCCGACGTCGGCGCAACAGCACTACGACCGGCCGGCCACCAACTACTACGGCTCGACGCCGTCCACCACTTCCACCACGTCCAACCACCACCTGCCGGGACCGCACTTCCACGTGCTGTCCACGACAACGACCACGGCAAAGCCGTTCGAGCCGGTGGCGCCCACCGTCATAGTGCTGAGCTCGGCCAACGATTCGAAAAACCCCAACAAACACACCACGCCCGCGTCTACGGTGTACGCGACCTCCTCGTCGTCGTACCGTCCACCGCCCTCGTCGCACGTCAAGCCGTCGCAGAGCATCATCGTGACGGGTAAACCGTCCGTGAGCGCGGCGTACACGACTACGGCCACTTATCACCACCCGCCGCAACACCATCAGCACCAGCAGGACGTGGCTTTCGTGCCGGTCAGCTCGACCACGATGGCCGACAAATATTACAACGCCAACCATCAGCCGTCCACCGGTAGCGTGCACACGTCTGCCAAGCCGCTGGTTTCCACCAACTACGGACACCGGCCAACCACGACCACGACCGCCGGGCCGCCGTCGACGGTCAGCAGCACGTCCAACAACAACGTCTTCACCACGGTCATCACGTCGGTGAACCATCAGTACCACAACAAGTTCCAGCCGACGGCCACGGGTAGCGGCGGTGGCTCGAAGCCGTACACGACGGCCAAACCGGTGGTGAACGACGGCGGCGTGGCGGCCGTGCTTCAGTCGTCGTCCGGCGGCGGTTACAGACCGTCGGCCACCGACGACGACGATTACCCGACGCCCGTCGTAACGCCGGCCACGCAGGTGTTCATCACCGCCTCTGACGCTCAACACCTCCAGCAGCACCACATCCAACAGCAGATTCACCACCACCACCTGCAGCACCACACTTCGTCGTCTTCATACCCGGTCAACGGAGTGCACAGGCCCACGGCCGACGACGAAGTGAGTGCCGTTCCGTTCAACTCCACCGACACGTTCGCTTTTCCGCCGGTTCGCGACCCAAACGTCAACCTGACGGCGGCAACGCAACAGGAAAAACCGGAAGTGACCGTCGTCGACACGTCCGGCGATTACGACGTGGACGCCGATCCCAACCCGCACCTGACGGCCGACGACAACCTAGACGACAAAGTCCACCTGTTCGTCGAAAAGGTCGTCCAATCGCTACAAGGCAATTTCGAAGACCTGGAAAAGGTCCTGATGTCCGGCGAATCGTCGTCGTCTAACGTGACCGTCGCTAACGATGACCCGGCGGGCTGGCCGAACAAAAAGCCGGCGACCGCCACGCCGACGTCCGCTACGCCTACGAAGAAACCGTCCAAACCTGCCACCGCCAAACCCACGAAACCGTCGCCGCAACCCGTCAAGTGGACCACTACTTCCACGTACCGGCCGACGCCGATCACTCCGCCGCTCGACTCTGCCCCGTTCTTGGAGGTGACCACAGTGTCCCGTCCAGTCAAGTACCCAACGTTGCTCACCCCCGTCCAGCTTTTTCAACCTACCACGTACGCTACGGACAACAAGCGCCCGACAAAGTTACCCGTCAAGCTGACGCCTTCTACGACGGTCATACTGGACACACTGAACGTCGAACACGACCATCACACCACCGCTGAACCGGATTACAGGAAAAGTACGCGCAATGGTCATCACGTTATTTACGGGTTGGTGGTGGGAGAGAGGCGATTGAATTTCGAAATACGGGGGGTGCCATTTCAGCTTTAGGTGTGGGTTAAGTTAGTCAAACATTTTGAGCAGCCGATATCACTGCACCGCCTGTTATCACAATGAGTACTATGAAAAATAGGATAAGGTTCTTCGACCACATTTTTTTTTATTTAAATTTTTTTCTCCCTATTTACACACTTATTAATTGTTTACTTGTGTACTCGGCATATTTATTTATGTATTGAGCATAATATAATATTTTTTATATCACTTTCAAGTCATAAAATAGCATATCAAGTATATAATTACGTATATTATGTCAAACGGAGGATTGAAATTAATTATTTATTTTGAAATTAAAGCTAAGTATACGCCAAATATACATTGGCAGTGAGGTTTAAGTTTGTACATTTTAGAAAAACGAAACTATGTTATAACTTATAACGAATTGAAACAATAATAATTGTTTTTTTTGCAATACATTGCTCTCCAGTTTCCGACGATATTATATGATAATATTTATAGATTTTAATAAGCGTACCAGTTTTTGTTCAAAAATTTGTCTGTCGTACACAAGTATCGCGTACATTGTATCGTAGCATGTATGTAGTTTGTTTCAAGATCGTATATGTACAAATATTATATGGATGTGTTTAGTCAAACTGTATTTAGTCTTGTATACTGCGTCGTGAAACGAAGTCATCGGACGTGAACAATAATCGATAAGTAGAGTGCTTTTCCTAATTCTTCCAACCCCTACGATAACAGAAATTATCTATATTACGTAATCACATAATATTATTTTATGTCTGTGAAGACGTTAATGTGTGTTTACTGTCGAGACATGTTTTTCGTTGAGTCCTCTTGGCCCATAAATAATAACGACGATGTTTTAAAAACACACACACACATACATACATACACATAGCTGTATAGTTTTTTCAGAGTCTCGTTCGGATAACTTAACGGTAATATTTATTACAAAATTCTAAAGCACGTAATACACACATTGGCGGCTTTACTATAACGTTCGTATCATACGTCGACGATTACAACAACGTTCAAATCGATTTTTTAGTGTAGGTATAATGATATTCGTCGTGGTCGGTCATGTTTTATTATCAAACTAGTTTTCGAAATCTTTACTGTGTAAATCAAATCCATCACGCTGTACCTATAGGTTTTCTCAATGGAAACAACTAACACACTAAACGTACATGGATATTTTTTAAGATTATATTATTATAGTTGACTTCATATAATATGTCACTGAATTATGAATAGTTGCGTTTAAAAGTACATGTTAATAATACGATTGTTATAACGCCGCAGCATTTTGATTATAGCTACATTGAAAACAACTATCTTATACTTTAGTCTTTAGGGTTCTGTACTGCATAACATACCAAAATACAATATACATGTTTGAGACGATTCAAAATTATTATATTTATTGGATGCTAGATGTACCAATTTTCCATGTTAGTTTTTGTAATGTCCAAATAATTTTTACGTTTTATTTAAAGTGATTTGGTTTTAATATTTGAGCGATTTTTGAACTCAAAGCCTTGTACCAAACCTAGTAGGTATGTTCGATATCGGCAGCTTCAAACATTCTCGCAGTGGAAATTAAATAATAATATCATGCGTATAGGGCGTATAAAGCGATTTCTATAGTCTCGATTCTGTATGACGATTTATAACGGTTCGGATAGTACAACACAATAATGATATGCCAAACCGGATGGATAATATAATAATATTATAATCGTTAGGTTAGGCGTGCAACAACAGGTTTTCACTGGCATAACTTGTAATAGTACCTAATAAGATGTTACCAAATATTATATGAAATAATTTGATAATTTATCGTACTATGCTCGATTTTATGATTAATCTATGACATGTTATGTTTTGTGTGCACACTTTTAGCGTGTGGAGTGCGGCCTTTGGTGAGAAAAGGCGGTCGGATCGTTGGCGGAACGGGTTCGACATTTGGCGAATGGCCGTGGCAAGTATTGGTCAGGGAAGCCACCTGGCTGGGACTATTCACCAAAAACAAATGCGGCGGCGTGTTGATCACTCAGCGACACGTCATAACCGCCGCTCACTGTCAACCCGGGTAAATATTAAATCATAGATTATAATTTATATTGTATAATAAATATAGTCATAAGAAGTTTTAGGCAAGTATTGAAATCATCTAATGTATAATAATCAAGTTATGAGATTGAAACTAAATGCTTCTGAACACATTTGGAACCAAAACTTTGCTAGACCACTTATTTAATTTAATTAGGGTAAATAAATCGAAACAAATACTACGCTACTACGGGTAGTAGATTTTTGATGCACTGGTACCTACTATAGATTTTTCTTGGATATTTTTCAAATAATTTTTATTTAATTTTATTGTTTTTATAATATTTTCTAGAATTTTGGTTTTGTAACGTAACAAATACTTAAATAGATAATCATAAAAAACATTACATAAGTCCGTTTTATTTTTGATTTTACGAAATCATAAAATAACTAAAAACAACAAACATATTTTTTTATTTAATAAATTAAATAAACAAATTAGTATAGACATATCACTAGTATACAGGTACTAGGTAATTACTAGTTACTAAACCGCACGTCGTCTGATCGTCATTTGGTTTATTTCCGAAGCTTAAGAAATCTATAAAAATTATATTATATTCACTATAAGGACTAATTATTGTAGCTAAATAATCGCATACGATCGTAAAAAGACGGCCGGGGAAACTTAATTGTTTGATTGATTCCAAATCCAGTTCCAAAAACTTTCAAAATATGATCTATACTATTCCCGACACGTTTTTCAAAAATGCTCAGAACGAATCGTATTTTACCGAATCGAAAACTTTAGACTTGCCAACATTAATTTGGAATTCAACGATTTTACACCGGTTATTGCCTACATTGTGCGTGCTGCTGCTGCCGCGCAAGTGCGCAACACTATGAATACAATTGATCAAACTACTCGCATTGTAATTATAATAATTGTTATTATCATAATCATCATTACCATTGTCCACTATTATCATCGTCATCGTCGTCGTCGTTATTAATATAATCGTTTAAAGTGTAACGTCGTGCAATTTACGTTCTAACATACTTTTACTGGGCAAGGCAATTATTTTTTTACTCGTCGCGTGTTGAGATACGCTCGTTCGCTTTGAAAGTTAACGCGAACTGGGTCAGCGCCGAGAGGCTCTTTGCGGAAAGAGGTCGCGCACGACGCGCGCGATTGTCTTATCGTAAAAATGGGTATTGTACTTAAATCGAAATCGATCGACTTCAGAATAACGGCCGTCGGGTGGACATCATATCGTACGCTTTACCGATAATAATATTTACACGCCAACGGCATTTTCGTCGGATTCCTATTGGCCGATACTAACAGTCAGCATATAACGCGTTTGACTTAAAAAGTTCAAAAGTTGATGTGGAGGAAAAAATTGAACCTACAACCTTTGAATTCGATTGATTTTTTATTTTTTAATCGTGCACCACCCTTATCGACATCACGCGTAGTGATCGTACAACTTTCGATTTGTTTTGACTTATAGCCAACTATTTCGTCCAGTAATTTAGGTGTATTATTTAATGTATAAATATGTATATAATTTTCGGGAAATTGTACGTGTTTCAATGTTTACATCTACAAAACGATTAAATTTATACTTTTTATTTATTGGCTTATTTTAATTTACATAATCTTATAACGTGAATGGTAGTATTTTTACATCGCGATCGATTTAAAACATTCAATGTTTAAATATTAATCACTGGTTTAGATATAATAACACGGTTTTAACTTGACGTATTGTTTTTAAACTAATAAAAAAGTCAAATTATAACCTATAAATTATTAGTGTTGGGCAACGATATAATTTTGTGTATCGATATCGTTCAGATTTTTCCGATATTTTATCGCGATATCGTTATTTGTACGATATCGATATCGTATCGAAAATATAATTTTATGTTTACCTAAACAATTAAAAAAAAAACTTTTCGTAATAATTTGATTATTAATCAGTAATCACTATACGATGTTAGAAATGTTCGAAAAATAACGGACGTTTACATCACACCGACGACACAAATTACACTGTGAATTATGGAATATCCAGTGGTAGTGTGGTACTATACCGTATTCCTCTTAAAAGCCAGCTAAATATAATATTCAATAAAAGTTATAACATTGTTGGCAATATAAAAAAAACCTGTTTCCTTTTTAGATAACATTATAATGGATTATTAATAGTGTACAATAATTGACATTTCACTGGAACACGCGTAGTGTACACCAAACGTTATCAGCTGACACCTATTATTATTTATTATAGCTTAAAACCTACAAATAGTAAATACTAAATAGTAAATACTAAATAGTAAATACTAAATACCATGTATTTTTCTTGAAAAATATTATTTTCGATATAACGATATATCGTACAATACAAAATAATATCGATGTCGATAATTTGTCACGATATCGATATCGTATCGAATTATCGATATCGTTGCCCATCACTATAAATTATCTATCTGATTGTTCGCTTAAACTAGTCATTGATTTAATTATTAAAACGCCAAACTGGTTAAGGTAAAAATTAAATATATATACACTCAATATAATCGTATATATATATATTTGAAAATGGTTTTGATTTAATTTTATTCAAAAATCTAAGTAAATTATGATTAAATTAAAATTTATTTAAGTAACTTATAGGTGACCACTGATCATTAATTTTTTTGGTTTTTGTAAGATAAAGAAATCAAATTTACCTGTTATTAGCTCAAAACTGTCAATAAAGATCAGAAGTTAATCGTTACTGTGCTTTTTTATCATTTTAGAGGTGAAAAACTTGGAACGTAAATATCCCAAAGGTGATAATATTTTTTAGATTACCTCATATTATCGAGCTTTGCTGAAATGTAATATGATTTCAACAAAGTGTTTCGATCGTTTAGAATAAGACAAATTCATAACTTTAAACATCTCGGAATATTATGTGTCTTGACGTAGCAAAACAACGATATGATGATAAAAATCCGTTATAGTCGTTGCGTGTCAACGTGTTTACGTATGTACTTACCAAAAACCGTCCATATAGCATTCTATATTAGTTATGCGGTGGCTGGTCAGAATAAACCAATTCATAAGGTCAGCTATGTGTATTTATCAAGGACATCACAGATATGTATTTATATTATTTTATTTTCTATGTAAAACGGTATAATATTACTATAAATCGTTTAATTATGTCACAATTCACAACGTATAGGTCATACTTCGATATCACGCTAAACGTGGGTAGAAAAACTGGTGTCATCAAATTAATAATGATTAAGCTTTTAAACGGTTTACGAATTGCTACGTTTATTATGTAAATAATACGTACATATCATATACATTATGTTGAAGATTCCCGTGTATTATAATTACCTGAATAATTTGTGGTCTTTATATCCATGAAAATTTTCCTCGCCTATGACAAACGTGCGTAAATTATCTTGTATCCGTTTAATTTGAAATTCCTAATTTTATACTTTAGTATAGTATACATAAACCTGTTGCGGTCGTGGTCGGAATTCCAAAATGGAATCTTACATATCATACCACGGTGTAGTAATAATAATTATTATTATTGTTTATAAATTGTTACAACGGTATATGCACGAATGCGGATTTCTGTCACCGTAATAATGACTTTTCGTCGTTTCCGGTTGTCCGCAGATTTCTAGCAAACCTGGTGGCCGTGTTCGGTGAGTACGACATTAGCGGCGAGGTGGAATCCAAACGGAGCATCAGCAAGAACGTAAAACGCGTCATTGTCCATCGGCAGTACGACGCGGCGACTTTCGAGAACGACATAGCACTTTTGGAGCTCGAGTCGCCGGTTAACTACGACCAGCACATCGTTCCCATTTGCATGCCGGACGACGAGGACGACTTCACCGGACGCATGGCCGTGGTCACGGGATGGGGACGGTTGAAATACGGTGAGCGAGCGTTTTGACGGTGGTGGGCACTTGTTGTCATCACTCACCAAAAAAATTATCACATATTATGCCATTCGTTAAAATTCAATTTTAAGCTTTCTCCCCTCCCCCCATATGAAGAGTGAGAGTCTTAAAAAACAATCGATATACTTTAACATATTTTCTATTTTTGAAAATTAATATATCTATCCCGATCGCTAAGAAAACCCCACAAAAAAGTATAATAATATTAATACACGCCTTTATTTATTTTTATATTTGTTCTCAACGCAAAGCTTGTTTAAATAATTATAAAAAAAATTACTTCAAACGATACTTGTTTAATAGAGATTATATAAATTGTATAATCTATATGAATTAAGATTTAAGACTGGAATGTCCCGTTTTTTAATTTGGCGATTTTATCCTGTGACAGTCCCGACATTAATTCGACAGTATAACTACCCATTTTTTCCGTTATACAATTTTATCAGTTTATTTTCAATTTTTTTTATTTTGATGCAATCATTAAAATAACGGAAACTAAAAAAAATTAATTATTCAAAGAAATTTAAATTTAATACCACTCATTTAGTTTTATGCAGCAATTGAACTTATCTTACACAGAAGAGATGTTTTTGAATTAACTGAAAAATTATCTGTACACTACAAAAAAAAAAAAAACCTTAACACATTATAATGTGCACGAATAATCTTTTCATATAATAAATTGTATAATACAATGTTTAAATCAGAATAATATTAAAATAGTCAACAAAATTTATAAAATAAAAAAATTAATGTCTAAATAACTATCCTGACAAGTGGTCTATGGAAGGTATAATCGAATTGAGCATATTGAAATCTCTCTCACGTAACAGTTTTATTTAAACGTATTTGGTATGTTTTGATTTTCGTTAAATAAAATATTGATCTTTCTGTCAAAATTCAATTGATTTTGACGTTCGAGAACGAATCGCATATTATTAGTAAGTAAATAATATACATGTATATAATATTATACTCGACGTGAAATGCTTAATTCGATTGTGAAACCAATTTTCAAATTATTTCGATAATATACGCTTTAGTCAAACGATATCGTTCAACACATCCAGTAAGGATTCACTACGAACAATATTTTTATATTTACATATTACAATAAACAGTGTTCTACAATGCTTCGTAAATCACTCGTTCGTATAATAATATAGAAAAACCTAAAAATGTTTTTTATTGAATTCAAAATAGACATCGTTTAATATTTCCATAGCCCCTACTCTATAGCTCTAGACATAAGTATTAATATAAAAAGGAGAAAGGGAAGTAACGATTAGATTTTAAGTTTAAAATCTAGCCAGTCTTTACACATATGATTAGGTAGATTTTTGTAGATCTTACGTACACTTGCGTTACATATTATGCACTTGCTTAAATGACTTAAATGAGTTTTTTAAATTTTAATATGTTACTTATAGTTTTAAATTGCTTATAAGTATGTATAAATGTTTTTTTTTCAATAATTTTATTTTAAAATAAATAACTAGAGAGTTTTAAATACTTACCTACTTAATTAACTCGGCCGCATGTAGTGCTGTTACTTTTTTTAACACGTAAATACCAATGTATCCATAATAATTATGTATAGAGAATACCCGTAAGGCCATAATTTACGATTACAAACCAAAAAACATATCAATATAATAAAATAAAGTGACCATTGTGAACTTGGCAACGCAAAATCACCAGACATCAATCAAATACATATACAAATACATTATTGGACATTATTAGATATCTTTCGAAATTAATTTGACATCGTCAGTAGAGATGTTTCATAGTTATGAGTACAGAGTATTATGTAATATAAAATATTAGTAATAACCCCTTAAAAAGTTAGCTCTGTTTGAATCGATGAATATATTTATGACCCTATTATTATCCGTTGTCATTGTGTAATATTAATAGTATTATTATTTTTATTATCAAACAGGAGGTGGAGTTCCGAGTATCCTGCAAGAAGTACAAGTTCCTATAATTGAAAACCAAGTATGCCAGGACATGTTTGAGACAGCAGGACATACAAAGACCATACTAAGCAGCTTTTTGTGCGCCGGTTACGCCAACGGGCAGAGGGATTCTTGCGAAGTATGTTCCGTTTGTATAGTTTATGATGTAGTAGACTTAAAATCTAAAATTGAGACGAAATTAGGTATATTTGGAATGTTTCAATTATTATGTTGAAATGAGTTAAAATTATTTAGGTAATATTGAAAAAGGAAATTTCACTATTTCAATTATTTAGAAAATACAGTTGTATGATTTAAAGTTTGAATAACACGCATTTTAATTTAACCCACGAAAAATAATTTCTTTTATAAAACAAAGGTTGCGATGTTTACTTCGAAGATTTATTTTAAATATTACACAAATACTTTTAGAGTGTAGAAATATTTCAATTTAAAATTGTATAGTACATTATTTCATATTATTATTGGCCATTGTTCTACTTAAGTGAAATATTTATTTGAAATGTTCATCTGATGGATCTCAGCTTACAAGTTCCTGTGTAATATAATTAATGATTTTAACGAAAACATATTGACACGTTTATTTAATTTTGTTAAAATGAAGTTTAAAATCACGAAATCGTTAAAAGAAATAATATAATATTTATAAAACTGCTCGACAGTAGAAGTGTAATAAGTATTTAAATAATAATTTTACTATAGCTCTATTCAAATATTTTACAACCGTTAACTTATGCGTGCCGCTTACGAGTAATATCCCTCACATAGATTATAGACAAAACAACTCTATAATATATAGAACGAATTCAAATTCAACGATATGCACATTATAATAGAACCTCCCACAGGGTCTGGTTAATCGTCGTGTTAATCTTATTTTTTTCTTGTTTTTGCGTTTTATCTCGTGGCAGGGAGACAGTGGCGGGCCTTTGATGATCGAAAAAGACAACGGGCGCTGGACACTGATCGGTACTGTGTCACACGGCATCAAGTGCGCCGCACCGTATCTTCCGGGAGTCTACATGAGGACTACGTACTACAAACCGTGGCTGCAGACCATCACGGGCGTACAGTAGACACGTCATCGCCGAATCGTCAATACTATTATTGTTATTGTTTTGTTGTTGTTGTAGTTGTTGTTGTTATGATTTTATGGTCGTACCACTATAAGGTACTATATTATAATAGTAATTATTATAAAAAATAATAATAAAATATCCTGAATCCCTCCTCGTATGTCAGCAGGCCACACATCATCGCGCGTCTATATTTTTAAACAATAATCACAATACCTAATATTAATTATTATCGATTAATACGACGATCACAACCGCGCGCGCACGTATTATGCATTCAGTGTTGACCAATTAGTTGTTTAACAAAAGTAATGGGATCAAGTTACTCTAAACATTAGACAAGAAGTCACCATATAAAATAACTTATCATCGGTATAATGTTGAAAACAAAAAAATTACGGTAGGTACTTTACCAATAGAATGGAATGAATTATAAAACAAACTTCATTTTTAATTTTATCTACAAATTTGGTTCTTAGTTTAAAATAAATAATTTAAAGAAAAAGAAAAAATTTCGTTGAATTTGAATATACCTAATGATTAGATTTTTAATTTATTCGGAATATGTATCGCTTATCGAAATATCTTTAGAGCAATAAATTATGAATAATAATTGAAAATAAAAAATGTAAACAAATCGATAAATGAACAGTAATACCGAGTTTACAGACTGCACTTGAAAACGATAATTCTTTTATGATATTTTAAAAATATTGTCATTTTCTAAATCCTGTCTCAAATATAACTCTGATTATATTAAAAATGTGTTTATCATATATATTTTGTGTATGCTCAAACGATATATCAACAGTAATATACGATGCATTAATTAGACTTAATTTTAAAAGTTGATTCCATTTCAATAATCAACTGTATAGCTCGTTAAAATTATTTCGTTACTACAGCTAGTACCTGAAAAGTGATTTATGTTTATCGTCATACGACACGACGCTCAATTTAAAATCTATAAAATTATGTGTGTGTATGTGTGTGGGTTTGTACGTAGCCTCTTGTCAATTCGAGGATACAGAAAAATAAATCGCGGGGGAGGGTGACGAGAAACAAATTGAAAATGAAAAATACCGACACACAGCTAATAATAATATACTACACAATACATAAAAAATATACCAGATTGTAATATCATAACAGCTGACAAACGCATCTATTTACCTCGCTGACGACTTGTACTATAATTCTCATCGATTCGATTATTTTCGACGATTTTCCACTACTGCGCGTGATAATCATATCGACTACGTGTATATTGTATACCGTCCAATTAAAATATTATCATAGTGATCAGAATACAATTTCGCCATAATTTATCACTGTAAATTATTATTTATTATTTGTTTATTTATTTATATATTTATATAATTGTACATTTTATTTTCATTTTTGTAACTTAATACGAAATGTAGGTAAGTATATATAGATATTGTTTGTTTCTTTTCTCTCTACTATATATTTTTATATTTATAAGATTTTTGTACATTACTGTTTTTTATACTTATTATTCTAAATATTTTTCTTAATATTATTATTACTATTATTTTTGTACTATTTTATCATAATATAATATACATTATTATTAATATGTGTTGCTTAAACGCCAACACAATATACTATATTATAATATAGGTACTAGAGATAATGTTATTATTATATATGCAAAATAGCGCACGTACATTATATACTATAATAATTTATTATGTCGTTTGACAATTTTTTTTTTTTAATACATATAATATGAACAAAATACTACAGTGTTTTATTGATATTTTTATTGTTATACTGATATTTTATAATCCTAAGTTTAAATTGGATAAAACGAATATAATAGTTATTGAACAACATCTAAAAAAAGCATGTGCATTTCCTGCCCTATTGTCATTTGTGACAAATTCCTATGTTTACAGACATTTCCTATCTATCTCAGTTTTTAAAATAATGTTTATATTCTATTTCCATGATACAATCTTAACCACGCGGCGTTATAGATAGCCTATTTAGTCTACACAACTGTTGTTGGCACATTTTATATGGTATTTTAAAATCATGGTTTGTTAAAGTACTTAAAAGTTTACACGTACAACTTGCGAAAACTAAATATTAGACCATATATTTACATATATGTATATAAAGTAAATATCTGAGATCTGAATCAAAAAATCGTTTCTCAAAAAGATTGCTTTTAAAATGTACAACGACAAAAACATGTTACACCATATTTAGAAAACGTGCAAAAATATTAGAATAACTGTTTTTAAGTATGCACACTATAAGTATACTTTTCTCTTTTTCACCAATAACTGTTTTCACTAAAAATAAAAGGTTAAATTAGTTTACATTTCCCTTTTCAATCAATACACGTTTCTGTCAAATGAATAAATATCTAATCACAATTTCACCAAAACAACTTCGATACCTACCAACTCGTAGGTACTATGAATACATACCACGTTGATATTAAAAGCTGTTATACCTACAGTAAGTTTACTTAAAATACCATAAAATATTGAAAAACTGTATATTTTAATATAAAATTATTTCTGTAGCAATAATTAACTATGTACCGGTACCATTACATTTAAAAAAATACCAACCTAAATGTTACAACTTTAAGAAAAACTTATGTGTTATCTTTTGTTAATTTTTAAATGAAAATAGTCATGACAACATTTACAGAAATAAAATAAAAAAATATTTAAAATTTTATATGTTTATAAATAACTTTGATAGAGTCAAAATAATAATTTATAAATATTAAAATGTGTAAAATAAATCATATAAAAATTTGATGAAAATGTAAATTATCTACGATAATAATATTCTCATTTTTCTTTAATTTTGTTTTCGTTTTTCTCGATTACTTTTATATACATTAATTTATTGCTTATAAATGATTATTAGTAGTATATTCTTTATTTTTATCAGTTTTAAGTTCAAACTAGATTAAACTTGCCATATTAAAGCATCGTTAAATTTGAAAGCATAGATACATTTTTTAAACTACTTAGGTATAGTATTTATGCACACACAAGAAAAAAAATCACATATCGTCACTGTAAAATCAACACACTGATCTATTATTTATTTAATTTAAATATTGTATTTTCTATATCAGGATGTTGTATTTTACTAACTCATGGTTCGTTATTACTGCTTAATTATTTTTATAATATAATAATACTAAAATAATTTTGATAATATGTATGACACATTGCTTTTCAACATTATATACCTAGTCTTTAAAATAACTTAACTGCATTATAATTTTTAACAGTATATTTTTTTGGTAGAATCGTATTTAGTATCTTATTTAATGCAGATATGGAATATTTAAAGAAAAGGGAAACGCACATCTTTTGTAGAAACCATCCACAGTATTATAAAGAAATGCTATGCTATAATAATTATACATTTGGCCTAAATGAAAACATAAACACACGCCACGGTGGCACATCGCCTTGGTGATCTGCCTAGGTTCGATGTCACTAATAGTACGTTACAAACAACTTTGACTCAACGACTGTATTTTCGCTTCGCGTTCATTCACGGGTTTTTTTTTGTTTACATATTTTTACTTATATCGTTTTTATCGTTTTTGTTTTCTGACATGGACGGAGGAAACACCATCGATGTTAACGTCGAAGCGGACGAATCCAGAGATGTCGTAACGACCATCCCGTTACTATTGGCATTCGATGAACCGGAAACGGTGGAGCCGATTAACGAGGAACTCAACTTACCGGAAGCCGAGTCGGAACCTGTACTCCCGCAGGAGCTGGTTGAGATATCGGAAATGCCGTTGGCGGATACGACTGTGACCACCGTTCGGTTGGGTTCAGGGGCGGACGACAATCCGTCTGCAGCGGCGGACGACGCCGAATCCGAGAACGTGGACATGCGCGGCAGTCGCAGACGAAGCGGTAGCCGTCGTCGCCGTCGCAGCCGCAGCCGGAGCCGTCGCAGCCGCAGCCGGAGCCGTCGCAGCCAGAGTCGGAGCCGCCGTGGTCGGAGTCGGAGCCGCCGTGGCCGGAGCCGGAGTGACGACAGCGATATGTCCGTCGTTTTGCAAATCGCCCAAGACGAGGAGTCCGACGAATTGATGGCCGGCGGCAGTCGCGGTGGCCAGAAGTTGGCACGCGGCAGTGATCGTAATGGCAGTAAGACGGCACCCGGTGGTCGCCACGTCGGTAAGACGGCAGCGGCCCGCGGCAGTCGCATCGATAAGAACCAGTCGTCTCGCGGCGACCGGAAGTCGGCCAAACGCGGTCGCAGAGGCTGGAAAACCGCAGCCAGCATGCAACCGCGGACGTTGTGGAGCGACCGCTTGCGTCCTCGCAACACTTATCGTAAAAAAAAATCTCAGTCAAAGTAAAACCCGCCAATAAGAAGAGTAAAATTCGACGTGATACACATAATATAGTATAATAAATTACGCTCGAGGCAATATTTTCGTAATACATATTGTTGTTTTCTTAAAAAATTGTTCAAACTTTGTGTTCTAATGTGTTCCAAATAAGATGATTTCGTTTCGTTTTACCGTTCTCACTTCTCATCAGTAGGCAATTCATGGCTTATCGTATTGTAAAAGATACTTTTATAAGTATTTTTAAGATAGGTACTTATACTGCAGTTAATAGAGTTTTATTTTAATGAAAAAAATATTTAAAATACATTACTAATACATTCCTTACAGTAAGTAAATTTATTTTACGAATAATTAAACATTTTCAGCTAAAAACGTGTATAATACATGTTAAATTGTAAAATACATTTTTTTAACTCTATATATATATATATATATATATATTTATACAGTTTACCTAATCGTTTCGAGCTTAATATAATATGAACATACACTTATGAGTATCATAATTGATTATTGTACTATCTACCCTAAGTGTGGTGTATGGTAAAAATTATAGTAGGTATTCGAATACAAGAAATAAGGATCTTAATCGTGAATATTATTCTTAGTATAACACGAGTAAATTATTTTTAAGTATCTAATTCTATGATTTATATGTATTATATGCTAATTCAAAGGTAAATACTCGTATTCAAATACTTTACAAGACTGATTTCCATATAGGCACGATCGTACAAAAATAAGCATAACTAAATTAAACGGAAAAATTTGAAATAAATAAATTTTATCATATAATCAATAACTATTTTACACATAAAAGGGTACACATTGATTTGTTATTTAGCTTTTTAGCAACGCGTATAATATAAAAAATTCATAATTATCACTATAGATCAGTAAAATTTAAAATTTAAATATTACAGTAAATTTACATATTATTCGTTTTAAATATAGTTTAATTTACTATAATCTCTTGTTAGTTAATTGTTTATCTATACATATCATTTAAATTAAATTAGTGAAAAAAACCTAAAATAAATCGAAGATCATGATTTTTTTATTTTTTTTTTTGTAATAATATAATACATATAATTCTTGATTTAATCTAATATAAAAATTTCAAAATCCTACATCACTCTTTTGAAATTTACAAAAATATGTAAATCATTAAATTCTTAGATAGACTAATAGTCAGACAATGTTAAATAAAACTTGAATAACTTTAAACTTAATTAGTTTATTTTTGATTGAAATATTTTCTTGAGTTTATTTTTTTCACACAAGTTTTCATCTAAATTTCTTATTTTCTCTGTTTGTTATAAAATGTATGTATGTATATATTTGTATAGGTATTACTGAAAACAGTGAAAATGGAATTCAAATATTGAATAACGTATTTAACATATTATATCTGATTGTGTGCAGATACATATAAATTACGAATATAGAACAGCTATGTAAATGATGGTACTTTATAAAAGAAACTGCAGGTGGTGACAAGTAATGAAGAGTCTTTAATTTTAAAATATCTAACTTTTTTTTTTTAGAAATCTGTGTACACAAATGTTTATTTTTAAATTGTATAATATTATACTAACCGTTTTCTCTATCATAGTTTTGAAAAGAGTGAATAATAATATATCTGTATCAAACATTCAAGCATTTGTAATGATTCAATGTAGAAAATATTATGTTATGGTATATACAGAGAAAACTATTATCAAATGAGTATAAAATGTGTCATTTCATTTTCAAAATGTATCAAATGTTAAAATCAATATACATAAACACAGTTGGTTTTAATTCGAATTTTCAATGTACTATTTTGTTTAAATTCTTGTTTGAAAATGAGTCAAGTATCCACTGTAATTGAAAATGTAAAACATAAAAAAGCTCTGGATTGCAATATAAGTAATTTGAAAAAGTAGAGTTGGACAATTTTTCAACTTAATATATTATATGACTTTATAATAAAAAGGTACCATAAATACAAATATGAAAAGTTATAATTGTATTGATTTGAATTTATTCTCAACTATAATATTTTGATTATTTACACTCGTGAAAATTTTACAAAGCTTAAATTTAATTATTAACAAGTACTTACAGTTCAATTCTTTAGACAGATTCCTCTAAATATTTAGAATACTTTAATTTAACTTAAAAATAACTGATACTAGGTTAACGTTTTTGAATACCTTCGTACTTGGTGCGTAATAGCGAGAATTAAAACTGACCTACATTTATATTAATGTTTAAATATAAAATTATGTTATTTCAAGAAATAAATAAATACCTAATTTATAGACAAATAAATTGAGGTATTAAACTATAACTTAACGATTTAGCACGACAATTAAATTGATCGTTGTATTTAAAGGTAACGAATATTTTTTTATACTGCTTATAATATATTATCTTTAGTGAAATTGTTAAGTTTATATTTTGGTTTTTAATACAATAATCATGTAAAAATATTACAAATATAAAATATATCATTATTTCTGAATATAATTAATATATTTAAATATGAATATAATAATTTAATATTTATTATTTAACTATTCTCAATCGGAGATTTTCCAAATAACTATTTATTATCATTGCTATTTTACATACTAACATTTTTTTTTTTTAAATATTTTGCTTTAGGTATATAAGGATATAAAAATATAAGTTGACATTTGAAATTCAATAATTGATTAACATTAACCCCTAACACACATAAGAATCAACAAATGTAACTCAAATATAAACATTAAAATTGCATGTAATTGATTTTTCAAAAGAAAACAATTATAAATAAACACTATATTAAAAAAAAATCAATCTGTCATGATTGTTACTTGGGATTTATATTTCAAGCTCTATAAATCATTAAGCATACCCGAAGTTTATTACACTTACGGGCTGTAAGTCGAAAAATGCGTTACATAAAGATGAAGTAATGAAAACGTGAGATTGTAGTGTACAAAATGAAATAATACGTTTTAATCTTCGTACAACATAATGCAGCAGAATGCTTGAGCGTGAAGGCTACCCATATGGCTTTTCCGTTTTTCAGCAAGTATTTTATTGGACAGTTTAATACTAATTATAAATTATGTACAATTCGACGTGACTTTATGACGGTTGTGTAAGACTTAAGTGTCCGCCGGTGATCATCATACATTTACCATTGTCATGCAGGCATTAAACGTTTACAGAAGGTCTTTTCGGAACAAATCTATTCCGAAGACGATTGATGTTATAGTTAGTTCCGTGATACGAGTACAGTTCATTAGTCGACTGTGGCTTACCAGTGACGTCTACCACCTGGAAACCGGGCAGCAAGTCAAGATCGTTTTTGGCAATTTTCGATGTGGAGGTGTCGGCCTCGGCGATAGGTTCGGGTGATGCTACTACGTTGACGCTGATATCCGTCGAGGAGGACTTGAATATCGACAGAAATTTATCTACCAGTGACTGTTCGTGGTTTTCTTCAATTTTCGTACTGTTGTTTTGTCCGTTGTAATTGTTGATGTTGTTGTTGTCACCGCGTTGAGGTGGGGGGCTAGAAGGGATCTGGCCGATCGGTGGACCAGTGTGATGGATGTAAATCATAGGCCAATTTTGTGGAGGCCCGTCTATAGAAGGAAAATACTTGTCGCTACACGGTCGCCATTGATCCGTGGATTTCCCTACGTGACACCTATAATATACGTAAGAGAAAAATTAAGTTAAAATTCACCGCATCGCAAAAATAAATATTACTATTTTCATGATTATTCATATAATCTTTCTTTAAACAAAGAATATTATAATCTTCGATCTAAAATCTGTTGACTTACCACGAATAACTGACCCCCTCGGAATAACCACATTTATGATCGGGCCGACAACAGTAATCCCAATCGCCTTGATCAACCGGACAAGACCATATTCCCATGTTGACATTTTCGGTGCAGTACGAACCAGATTTACACGGATGTCCGTTAACGGTGAATCTCATCCACGTCCATTCTACTCCACCCGGTACTATTTATAGAATTAAAAAGAAATTGTATTTAAAAGTTAAACGATTTTGAAAAAAAATTTTTTCTCACAGCCATTGGTCTTTGGGAATTTAGCTACAGCTGGTGTACTGAAACAATGGACTTCGTTGAAATCCCATGTGTACAACAAATATTGTTGATCTAGACTAAAATGTTGATTTGGTTTCAAATCTCTCATTTCGATGTCACTTAACTCGCAATGACCTCCGCTATACAAAATTTAATAACGTAAAATACTAAATGTTATGTGAAAAATGCACTTGCATCATTATATTATAATATAGTCTAGTCACCAGAGCGTATGGTGTTAAGACCAAGAAAATCTGTACCTACAAGTAGCTGAGTGTAGAACACCGAAAGTATTGGTTTTCCCTGGCCTTGTTGCACTCCATCTTACATTGGTATTCTGACTCGACAGTCATAGATTTTTTGATGGCTGGTGGTAACAGTCTGGCAGTACTTCCGAAATTAATGTAACACACTAAAAACAAAGATTATGAAAATGTGAGTGAAAAAAATTAATCTAGAATATATTAGCTATATTATGTCTAAGTTTATTTTTTTTTCTTACGTTTTTTTGCCGTCCCGTAAACAGTTGGTACTTGGGTGGGATTCTGTCCATTCAGATTAAAGAAGTCGTTATATACACCTCCTGGGACTCCGGGTTCCTTATTTGTCGGCCTAGCAGACACAGGGGTATATTCTCCCGGCATTTGGAAGAACGTGGTTGGTGGCATGGATGGCACGTAAGTACCCATGGGTCTTGTGGTTGTATGGAAGACAGTCGGCGTGACTGGATAATACCCGGGTGGTGATAGAGTGGTAGGTGGAGGGATGTACTGTGGTGGTGGTGAAGGTGAAGAATGAGGATTAACAGGATAGTACGGCGGTGATGGTGATGGCGATGGCGATGGTATTGGTGACGGTGACTCAGATGGTACATTGGGAAAGAATTGTAGTGGAGGTGATGGTGGACCGTACTTTGGACCATATAATGACGGAGTCAACGGAGGAGGCACTCCATACTGTGGCCTATACGTGGTGAGCACTGTGGGCGTCAGGTCTTGTCCCGGAACCAAAGGCCACCCGGAATGTGGCAAAACCTTGTCTAATTCACACCCGCGACCGTAACTACCCCGGTTGTAGACATCGCAATTAGAATCTTCGACGAAGTGTTTAACCGGGTCTATTTCGGGTACTGGGTAATCGGTCAAGTAACAGTTGTCTGACCGTTTATCAGTGACGGGCGACTCTCGGCTGCAAGGCACATGGATAATATAATATATCAGATAAGTTAGTCACATGGTGACAATAATGGTATTATATATTAATATATATGTGATGGACGAAACACATTATTAAAGTGTTATCACACAATGTCGTTTACATACCGGAAACTGAATACCCGGCATGTGAAGTGTTTTACGTGGAGGCAAATGAGCTCGCACTCGTGCAAGTTCTCCGTCTGCACTGAGAATTTCACTATGGACACTTCCAACGTTAAACCGTTACGAATTCGTTCAAAACAATCTAAAATCCATACATAGATAATAAATATCTAAGACTTTATATTGTCTTGAATAAAAAATACGAACTCTTTATAATATTATTTATTATTAACAAATACAAATTGTATTTTCATTAATTTTTTTTCCCCAACTTAAAAAATGTAACTTTTTACATTATAACTATAGTGATAAACAAAAATCTATGACAATCTCACCAGTGTCCCAGTTTTTTGCGGGTTGGCATCCGGGCTGACTGAGTTCGTTTCGTGCAAATACATCGCAATCCCTATCTGGAACTAAATCTTGAAAAATATCCAATTGCCTAAGCATTTTATCACCCAAATGACAATTGTCCATAGAGGATGTAAAACTATATCTGTAGGTAAAAACGATTAACCGTATTATTTAAGTTTATACGTTAGTTCGTTTTTACCTTACCTGTAACTGAATATGTTGCAAGTGAATGTCTGTTCGTTAGCACACATGTTCTCACAACCGTAAAGAGACGGAGCGTTAATTGATTTTATAATATTTCCTTGCTGTAAATGGTGTCCCGTTCTGGCTTTTATAAAACATTCTATAGAAAATGATTTGCATCTCATCAATAAATCAATAAATAATTATAATATTTCAAAAATTCAAAATAACGCAATACACGTGACTTTGTAAGCACAACAGACAATTATAATATAATACATAAACTAAAAATAAATAATTATCGGAAAAATGTTTAATCATTTTTCATGTGTATCGTGAAATTTTTATAAATTATGGTCATATAAATTTTGACAAAAATTTAATAGATTCATAAATATACTTACAAGAAACAAAATACTATAACAAATTAACAAGTGACATATTTGAAAATATTTTTATAAACCCCAAGTTTAAGTTAACACTTGGTACCTAATAAGTATGACACAAATATTATCAAAATGATCATACATTTTTTAATAATACATTGCTTTTATTATTCTAGATATTCAATAAATAAACATTTTGATTTAATATTGATCAATTAATTGATCAATAATTTAATAAATTATAAATGATAAAATGTATTCAAATATACTACATATATAGTTATATACTATAATACATCGAATTAAATACAAAGTGTATATTTCGACCTTAGTATATAAATATATGACAAATGTATGTAACCTACATAGAATTATTCTTGTGCTAATATTTAGCACAAATTTTCGCGATCAAACCCAAAATTTGAACGTCACTCTTGCGTATCGCCCCCCTCCCGCAAAAATGAAATAATGCGATTGTCCGATTGTGGGATAGGTAGGTGTGTTATGTATTAATTTTTGTTATAACATACTAACCGTTAATCGATGTGGGAATTCGATTCAATATCGTTGGTGTCAACGTTGGTTGTATGTTATTGAACAGGAATCGGACATCGTTGTTGTATAGGTCGGGGGGTCTAATTAAAGACACACCGCCCCCGCCGCCCCCACCACCTTTACCATTGAAAAATTCCTGTACGCCAGGTTTCAACGGATCATAGAACACTTTGTCGCCACCATACGCCACTTCGTTGCCCTGTGGCCATTGTGAACTGATATCTTGCCATAGGTCCTGTTCGGGTCCACCCCATGTACGCCTTTGCCCATACGGATTGGGCAGCTCCGTGTACCGACAGATGGGTGAAGCATTTACGTTTTTTTCGAAAAAATCGTATTCCAGGTCCGACTGAAAGTCCGAGGACAAGTCTAACTTGTCGGACGGCACGGATGATAGTTGACAACTGCTATAAGAATCCAAGTGCATGTCGTATCTATAGAGAAATAAAAGAAAAGTGTGGTAAAAACGATACAGATAATTTCTATATTATATAATATAATAAAATTATTATTTAATTATTATAGCTGTGCACCCCCTCCCCTTAATTTGTAATAACATTTATCTTTTAAAAAATTCAGTTTTAATGGCCCTTATAAACAGCACAATGCTGGATAATGAATATATATTAAACATGTGAAAAGTTTAAGTTTATACCAATGTAATTTTTCAATAATCATTTATTTTGCTTAAGTACTGATATTCTATTTAACAAATTATTAGTGATACTTTAATTTTTAAAAACTGTACAATATATATCATTTAATCCTACTAAAAATTGTATTTATTCCTATTTATATAACTATATTTTATTTTATATAGGTACTCGTAGATATTTAAAAATAATTCATTAAAGATATTTGAAGATTAGATTCAATTAAATTATATATATATATATATTCGTAGTTTATACAAATTTATATTTATATTATTGATTTAATTTCCTACTAAATATTTTTGTGTATATTCAAAAATAACTTTTTAGATTTAAAAAAAAATACATAATCATAATTAAAATAGTTATTTAAAAAAATAGTAATAATATAAAAATAAAAACCTGAAGTTAAATCCTTCGCAACGAAATTCTTTTTCGTATTCACAATACAGCTCACAATCTCCCCTTGAATCAGCTGGTAGAGTTCTTTGAATGTATTTATCGGTCAGTCGACGGCCTCCCACGAGCTTAATGAAACATGCTATTAAAAAAAAATATAATACATGTTGTCGATGTTTTCATAATCTAATCATTATAGATTCTGATGCAAGTATACAATGAATAACTAGTCAGATTATGTATATTGTGATGTGTGAATAAGAATATTACACCAACAATTAATTTAGATTAATGCATATTTTATTTTTATACATTTTATTATCTTGCCATTAAATATATATAGTAATGTTCTGGGCTTTATAATTTAAATGACCCAACGATTTTTATAAATATGGTAAACAAATCTTTTAAATTCTAAAAAACTAAGTCATATAGTTTTAGACCTAAACCAGGTAGCTGCCGATATTTATATCTGATTCTATCCAATTTAGGAGTAGTTGGTTATCTATTCCAACTACACGAACCAGTCTTAAGAACCTAGTTGATGAACTGATACAAATAAAGTTTTCTAAGTTATATTTTACAGGTCCTAGAAACGTATGACCTGCGTTCATAAACTAACACAATAGAAACGATATTATAGCAACGTATTATAAGGTTTATTCATATGACTAAACATTAATATAACTATACAGTACTCTATAACCTGAGTAATCCTGTTCTTATGGGTAGTATTTTGAAGATTACAGGTATAGCAGAGTACGAGTTGAAGCGATTGAATATAATATGATTTATCTATAAGGTAGGTTATTATACCTATAGTAAATCAAATTAAATATGCTACTTAAAAATATAAAGATAACTGTAGTTTCTACTTCATGAACAAAACTCGACTGATTAGCTATATCAATGATTTGCAAGCCTGGGCATAAACGAGTTAAAAAGTTAAAGTTAAGTTAATTTTAACTTTTTAACTTAACTTTTTTTTAAATTAATTTTCAATAACTTAATTTTTAACTTATCTGATTATTATTGGTATTAACTTAATAAATAACGAGTTACTTTTAATCATACCCAAATTAAGTAAATTTAAAAAAAAAAAAAATTCCATTTTGATATCATTTACTTGTTTAAAAATGTATAAAATTTGTTTTAATAAATTAAAAATTTATATTTTAATTTTATTTATCTTTTAGTACCTACTACTTAATTCTTTCCACCTGTATTTTAATTTTCAAAATTTAGTTATTTTATATATAGTAAATCTATTTTTTGGGCTTAATAATATTTATGAATTTTATAATTTTAAACTATTTTACTGGCTATTTTATATATTAAAAAAAAATAATAACTATAACTTAACTTAAGTTAATAAGTTAATGGAAAATTTCCATATAACTTATAACTTAATTGAGTTAAAAAAAAATTAGATTAACTATTAACTTTTAACTTTTAACTTTTCAAAATGTATTCTATCAATTTAACTCAGTTAAAAATTATCATAAACTTGCCCAGGCTTTATATACATATGAGTATATACTCATACTCTACGTTTCTGCGTTCTTCTGACCTAAACAGAAATCGCAAAGTGCGGCATAAACGCATCAATAACATGTATATCGTTACATTGATATCAAAGGCGCACTTAATGAAAGAGGACTAATGGACTTAAGCCTCCCTCCAAAAAAAAAAAAAAAAAACAAATTAATTCACTAATATTTTTATAATTTTATTATAGGTGCCTAAAATGATCATATCAAAAAAATGATTAACTTGAAATATAAGTTTATTTGTATATAATTTAATTACATATATAATAATATAATATAACATAATATTACGTAGTTTTTTGAGTTTGATTTATATGGTACAAAAAATGTCATTATCAAAATCATTCATTACCACATAATATAGTGTAGTGATACTCTATTTTAAATTATATATAAACTTTTAAAAATATTTTCAACACATTAAATGTTTTGGCTAGTACTACGAAAATATCATTTTACACTTTAAAAAGAAAAAAACATGGCTAAGAAATACAATGAGTTAGAATCAACTGAATAAATTAGCTACACTTCATATTCACAGAGAAATCGATATTTAGAAGTGTTGTCAATATTAGGAAAAAAAAGCGTCAAGGTGACGTCAATTTTATCATTTAGAAGGTAACACTTAAGATAAATAATCACCATATTTTTAATTTAATAAATTAATAATATTTCCAGGTATAATTTCAGTGGTTCAGTATAATTGATTCATAAAAAGTAAAAGCTCGTGTAAAAAGATTTCATATTTCTGTACATATTTAAAAATAAATATAATTACTATTTAAAATTATTTTTATTTAGTCGCCCCTTCCCTTCAATAAAAAAAAAGGAAAAATATATCGAGTGATCAGATTTTCAAATCACAGAGCTAGGAACAATCATAATCAAACGATGTATTACTGTTGTATTTAAAATATTTCTATAAAATAAAAAAAAAACAATAATTGTTGTTAAACAATATTAATACTATTTCATAAGACTTGTATTTTCTATCTTATTGATATATAACATTTAATTACACTTAAAATAATATATTCTATTAGTTTAATTTCGAGATTCTAAAATATCGATTTATTTTATTTTCTTTGTAACTCTTTTATGGAAAAGAATAATTACACATGTATTAAGGATATTGATACATTTTTTGTTCTATCTATATTTAATTTCAAATAATATTGTAAGACATACTTTTTAATTTACATGAGTGTACTATGAATAGTTAAAAGTCTAAACTAATAAAAACATTTCAATATTAGTTTTCGAATTGTATTCTTTTTTTATTAAAAATGTATTATAGTTTTTAATTTTTATTATAATGACTCACAAGGAATAAAATGTTAATTAATTAACACTTTAATTATATTGATCCACTCTAGAGTAATACATATTAGAGTACTTTTTCTGTTCTTAATAGTGATAGTCCCAGAAAACAAATCTTAAAAATAATATTATTAAACAAATATCACTGTAAAACGGGCTAATGTTCGATCTAAACAATAATCAACAGTGATTAAGATAGTGCAAAATTATTAGTTGGCAATTGTTGGTTTATTATTTTTAACATAAACGAGACGATATACTTTTATCGGCTTTCTAGTGAAATTAATTAGTTGTCAATTATTAGTTGACGATACTATTATATCCACGGTAAACGCGCAATATTACTTAATATTAGACGTAAAATAACAATGTGAAATAAAAATATAACAACAATTTTTTCGCTGAATAATTTCAAACGTGTATTGATTAATATCTTTAATAAATGTTAATTATTTTACAATATAGCCACTATATCCACTGAATCAATCACCTAACGATGCGGTGCTCACATTTCCTATACGTCAGCTTAGGCTACGAGCGATAAAACGTCCACGCTTGTCGCTTACGTAAAATGTTAAATTCGTTATTTCGCACGAGACATAGTATAATATATAACACAGATTACAGCAGCTGGTAATCAGCAGAACCATATTATTGTTCTAGTGTCGAAAAATATTCATACAATAATATCGTTTGTAATATAAAACCTGCAGTGAATTGTAATTGTGTACACTAGTTAAATAGACCCACTTGTTTTTATATGCATATGTATAGCGGTACACAACACGTGTTTCAAATTACAATTTTATTATTTTCGAATTCTCTTTGACGAGCAAAATACTATTACCGTATTTCAGTATTTGACACGATATTGAATACTACAATGTAATCGGTGATCGGCGATCATTGTTCATTACGTTGTTACTACCAAAATGTTCGTACATAGATACCAAAAATTTCCATCTTAATATATTTCATTGTTGATATAATTGAAAAAATGCATGTTTAATAATTTGTACAATAATGTTTTACTTTAGGCGTTTCTAATGTAAAACACATTTTCTTCGCCATTCCATTTATAAAATATGTTGTACGATTACCTATCAAATGTATTCGTTCTATACACTAGTATAGATAGTAAATAACTTTAAATAAACAGTTTAAAAAATAAATAAATATAAATAATATAATAAAATAACTTAACTGCTATTTTTTATCTTTTATAATTAAAATTGGACATTGCTTCCGTATACTATGAAATAAATAAATATTGTAAAAAATACATACTAAGTCTTATAGAGAAAATTATACTAATATCGTTATCATATACAAAATTATATTCACCTCCTCATCAAAAATAAATACCTATAAAAAAACAATATATTTATATTGATTCTGATACCCGTGATACTAGGTACCAATAACTTGTCAAGCTGATAGTCAAATTAAATTATCACTCATTATTATTTCATTTCTTCGACGAATACAAAAGTAGTATTCAGACATTAGATTGATTGCTTATTCTTAGTAGCGATATACTATTATCATGCTTGTAAAAATAATTTTTAAATTTATTTCAAATGATTGTTTCAATATTTGAATGCAAATATATTTAAATATTATATTGGCCATTAATTATTTAAATACAAATATATGAGTAGGTACACACAATAAAAATATCATCCATATACCAACTTTAAACAGTTATTAGTTATTTTTCTATGGAAATTCATCAGAATCAGAATTTGTTCTCGATAAATAGTTGTAGTTACAAAAAAAAAACTATTTTTATAGAACGATTTAATTTTTTTTTTAAATAAGTAGAGACAAAATAAGCTGTATATAACTAATCATTGCAGAATTTAGTATAAACTATAAAAGTATACTACAATTTATAAATTTATATAAAATCGCAACATAATCATTTGATTTATACAACTTATCAATAAAACGATTGATTTCAAAGACGATTTGATTAGAATAACACTTAGACGGATACTTGTTAAATATTAAAATGTATCACCATAACCCAATAAAGTTATTCAAACATCAAAATATCAACAGGATAAAGTTATACATTAGTAATTATTTACTACTAGATATACATTTTAGGGTCACTAGCTCGATTTGAATTCGTTTATATATTATTATAATTTATATTCAATAACCTTATATTTGAGTGTAAAAACTAAAAAACTAAATTAAGTATTACAATTAATATGGTTTAATTTTTTTTTTAGTGATCAATATTTTATATTAAGTAGATACATTACTCACTTGTTCTATCCCTACATTGCAATATTTTCATAAAAAGATCGTACTCAGGATCATCGTACGGTCCTGATTTTGGTAAATCTAAACTAAGTAGACAAGTACCATTGCCATTTCCGTTTAATCTACAGGATAAAAAAAAAATCATTGCATTAGATAGGTAGGTAATGTTTTTTATTCTTGAATTTATGTCATACAACTTTTCAGGTCTAAATTTGATACAATATTGTTTAAAACTGACCACCTAAACTCACCCATAACTATATGCGTTGCACAAAATTCGTTCACATTCGTTACTGCATTGTTTTATATTTGTAGTGGATATTGTTTTTGTCACATCTGAACTATTCAAACGTTTTCCAATAGCCACCCTCTCGAAACAATCTATTTAAAAAAATAAAACTTGTTTAATTATTATCATGATATTATTTTTAATATCAAATGAGATACTATCATGAATGGTATAATAGTATTGTACACATACTATACACTTTTACTAACTATTAACTAATATTAATGTATTCTCAGCTACAATAGCCTAATTATATTATTATAAGTTATAATATTTTTTACAATGTTAACACTGTATAGTTGGGCATTTTATTACTTATTTTACATTTTTTTACTACACGTTTGTATCACCGGACAACCAGACTATATATTTAAATTTTTCAGTTTTTTAAAATACAATACAATATTAATATCTACAATATTCGAGTATTATCATTTATCACTAATTCATTATAGTATAATCATTATATTTATATTTTTATTTTTATTTGTTAAAATAACGGCCAACATATTTACATTAGTTATAATTTGTTAAAAAAAAGAACAATTTAAAACAATATATGAAGTAAAAAAATACCTATAAACGTTTTTGAACCATTAATGTTTGACATAAATAATTCTTATTAAGTATAATATAACATATAAGTAATATATTTCTAGTAAAGTGGACAATTTAGACATTAATGGCTTCAAATTTAAATTTAACTTAAAACGATCGTGTTAATCATGTGTTGTTTTCAAAATTTCATAATAACAGAATACAATTTTATAGAATTATTTTAAGTTTCTTGAAGAATATTTTAAACATAATGTAATATGTAATATTTATTCCTTAAAAATTATAAAAGTATAGTATTTAAAAGATAGTGTGCCTAAATTATAAAATATAGAAATAAAAATATATTTTTCTTATATTTAAAAAGTACTTAACATTTTTAAAATGTTAACAAATAACATTTAAATATTACACACACACAAACATATATAATATATACATATCAACATTTGTTTAGAATGAAAAATATATTACGTGAAATAAGTGAACAACATTGCGTCTCTTATTTTATTCCTAGCTGTTTCTTTCTATTTCCTATAGTTTAGAAATTGATAACTCAAAAATATTATACTATAGATGATGAACTTTTGCATAAGAATAAATAAAAATCTGTAAGTACAATATAATTTTATTATAATATTATAAAATAGCTATATTGTCACATGCAATTTGGGTGAAATGAAAGGCTTAATACAATATAAACCTATACTAATAAAATATATTAAATTTACATACATATATTTATATTAATTTACCTAGGTATAAGTACAAATGAGTCACACAAGCAATTATAATATAAAATACAACCGCGTTTCACAATCACAACTGTTCAAATTACGCGGCACGTTAAAGTCTTTACACATCACACGCTGTCCACGTACTCGTATATCTATACAGGTATTATATCAGCGTGTCAATGCCTCATGAACTCCATCTACTGGTATGTATCCGGGATGGCGATTTTCACTCTCGAAATTAAACGATTTAATTTGTCATACCGACAAGGTTGCTGTGTTTATTTTTTTTTTCTCAGAGTTTTTCGGCCGCGATACAATTGCGTACATGTATTATATGTATTATAATATAGGTAGGTAGAAGTAGACATAGGAACACGCGTGAACTTCCGTCTATACGAGGTAATATTTTGAAACGGCTTGCGTTTGCATGTCTTCACAATATTTTGTATAATAATAAAATATTTTACATAATTTTACATGAAATGTAAATAATATATATATATATATAAATAACGGATATTTTTCTCACCATAAAATCGAGATTATTGATGACAAGCAACAGTTATGTATAGCATGAATTTTTTAAAAAAACATCGCATAACAAGAAAATGTTATATTATTATATTAAGTATACATAATACAATATTATTATAGCAATCTTAATTCACTAATAAAATACACGCATAATATATAACTTATAATTGTCGAAAATATTATTTCAAAGACATATTATGTATAATATATTAATGTATATTGCTATTACTCCGAAGTGTGATTTCCTGTATTAGTTAAAAGAAAAAATGGATAAATATAATAAACAATAGACTCTGTTGTGTCTAACCATTATTATATGCGTATTTTTATACATATATTCCTTTATTATTACAAGTAAATATCTGAATAAAACAGTATAGTATTATAAGTTATAGCTAGCAAGGTTATATACCTCCTTATATACATATAATGTTATCCATATTCATTCACGCTTGGCTAAAATATGTAAAATAACTTGAAGCATATAGGTACAAATTACATATATTTATTAATATAAATAAAACTAAGAATTTTATTAAAATGACATTTTATGAATAGAAATATCATTAAAAAAAAAAAAAAATTGTATTTTAATTTTATTACCTAAACGTAATATAATCAACAGCAATGATTAGGTTTTTAACCGATTAAACCGTAAAATCTCATGTATCTACTGCATAATAGCTACGATTTTTTGTCATTTAGATTTTACTCATTTTTATATCAAGATACTCTTATATAAAATACACGTTTTGATTTATTAAAATTAAAAAAAAAAAAAATTAATCCTATAGTTTAGTTATTACAAATTATAAATGTCTGTTTAGTCATTAATTTAATTGTTTAAGTTATACTGTCAATATTAACATCAGTTATATTCAAATGGATTTTAAGCAAGTTTCAAATATATTTAAGAGCCTGATAGACGAGTACAATTTTGGGTACACGAATATATATATATATATATATTAGTTCACGGATGTAGGATAAATATAAAAATTAATATATTACATGTGATATGTCTAGTATAAGATACACAGAGTATATAGTATACCTATGTTATAAAATAAAAATATTGTAATATAATTTATACTTATCTATCTTTCATAATATTTAAGCTTATATTTGTACTTCTAACTTTCTGAATATACGATTAGAAAATTAACAATATAGTTTTTAACACAATTAAAAAATATACTCAATTAAATTTGAAATACTTAACTTATCTTATTTAAATTGCATAATACGTATTAGTAAACGTATAAACCAAAATATATAATTTTTTATACTCAAAGAAAATAATATTTAATATATTCAATATTACTTCTTTTTTCTATATGCTATATTGCTATAACGAAAATTAGGGATTAAGAAAATGTTAACAGAAGACTTTTAACAATTGTCCGTATTACCGGTGGAATAAATGAAGGCCATCGCTTTGTGAAAGTGGACAATATTTTTTTTCTCACGGGCACCGGTCATGGAGATCGATCCTCAAAATCGTTGTTTCAGCGTTTCTAGTAAAAATAATTTAACTAACAATCGAGGAAGGTAATACGAACTGATTGTGAAACTTTCAGGACACATTAATTATCCATAGATATTAGATAGATAGTAGTCAGTTGTATACTTGTATAGTTAATATAGTTAATCGAGCATTTGATTTTAGTGCATAAATAATTTTTAGAATTTTAGTAAGATAAAATAGAGATAGTTGGTATTAAATTATTACAAATAAAGTTTTCATATAATATTACGAATGAGAGAATTTTTTAACAGTTTTGTTCTGCAAAATGTTTGTGTGGTTAAATATTTTTGGAAATCAAAACAAATTTTTATTTTGTACCTATCACTCGAGTAATTTTACTGATTTTAATAGATCTAATAATTAGAATAATCATAAATAAGTATACCTATGAACTTTATGTTTTAAAATCCTCGAAATATATTCGAACAGTCGACGCATTCGTAGGTATTTTATAATATTGTAGGTGCCTATATATTATGAGTAAAAATTACTTAATTTAATTGTTATAATATGAGATACATACATGAGTGGTTGAGAAATTATTCATTTAACAATTATTCATGGAAATAATGTAGAACCGATAAAAGCACACAGTTGGTAATTCGGAGCTATGAGTTCAGAATTTCTCATAGCACATAAAGGACATGAATAAATCGATTGCCAAAATTCGACCTTCAGGCAGTAAATTAGGTACGTACCTATCACATCAATTGGTACGCAACGATTTTAAACACATTTTATCAAAATGTTATGTTATGGCTCAATCAATTCCATTTTTTTTTTTTATTTCAAATATACTCGTACCTACACATATTTTTAGACTTTAATGAAGAAAAAAAAAATATTTAAAAACGTAATAAAATTAAATTGACGACCTATTCATAAATATGATTTTATTTATTGGCTTATACGATTACAAGTTTCAAATTGGTTACATATACACACTGAAGATGCAGACTAAGACATTTACTATCAGGTTTAAATATTTAAAATGAGAAATTGCCAAAAATCGTATTTTTAATTATACAATAGGTACTACCTATTTAAAAAATATTATTTTTTTCATGGATATACAATTTTTCATTTAAATAACTTAACTTTTATATTTTATAATTGCATATATTTATTTATCATTTAAATCCAACAAACGTACTTTAATATATACAATTATACGCTGTTTTAGAAGAAAAAAAATGAAATTAATTCACAATATTATTAATATGTTATAATCACCGACATTGATATGATAATTTAATCAATGGATGATCAATATGACAATCATTATGTTTTATTTGTGTAAAAACTAATAAATATGAATTATAAAAAAAATTTCAATAATAAACGCATAATTATTATTAAGTTGCTAATGTGGTATGCAATAATAGATAATATAATATTTCTATTATATGCTATTGATATTTTTAGGACCAAAAATAATAGAAAACTAAAAAGTTAATAGTTACAATTTAATACAATTTAATAATTTTACTAGGTATAATAAGGTTGGCACTTATTACAATTATTATATGTTAGGGAATTTAAATACCTACACTAATATATAAATTCTGTAAGAAATTATGTAAAGTAATAAATTTGACACAAACTTATTAAATTCATTACAATTTGATATAGGTTAGTAGACATATTTATAAATAAATAGTGATTGATAATAATAAAATATTGTTTCGATAACTTTTTCTATTTTAAATCAGAGTTTATTATCATTGTAGGTACTTTGGTTCAAAAAATTATTTATAGTGAATATTCATTCAGCATTAAAAAGCAACATTATAAGCTGCGTTTTACGTTACATTATGAACTTTCTATATCTACTTCTTTAGAAAAGTAAAATACTAATGAACTCTATAGCTGAAATTTATTTATTCATTTATTTTTTTGTCTTACCAATTTATAATAAATTACATCGTAAGCTGCAAAACAGTTCAAAATAATAAATTATTGTTAAACGGTATATTTTTTTTTTAATTTTCTGATTAATAAAGTTCAATAATTAGAAAATTAAAAACTATATGGCTATATTACATGAATATTTATTGAATTATAATTTTTCTAATTAATAATTCTTTATTAGCTATAATAAAATTTTTTGCTAAAAAAAAAAAAAAAAAAATGAATAATAATACAGACCGTTAATGCCCTGCAGGTTGAGAAAAGAGCCAGTATTGGTGACTGTGAACACGTGGAACAACGATACGACGTAGGCGCCAAGCGTACGCATCTCTAGGCCCGGAAAATACGTACCTATGTACCGGAAGTAGACGTGAAATGGATGCAAGTATATCAGATCAGTTGCCGCAGTATAATATTATAACGTATGATTTTAGAGGCGATCACAATGAAAACGACGATTTAATTCTCAATATTATTTATAATGTAACTTACACATAAATTCGTTTTTATATAACATTTCGATGCGCTCGGACCGCGATCACTGTAATCGCACACATGTCATACGGCTCTTGCGAGTACTCGACCGATAATATAAACGCACGCGTGGGTGTAAGTTAAAAGTAAAACGTATCGTCCGCGTCTTGTCACGTGGACGTGTCGCGTGCAGACTTACCATCGGCCAGAAGCGATCTACAACGATACGACAGTATAATGTAGTTTAGAACGGTCAGGATGTAAAATGCCGCGATTTGCCAAATACCCATAATAATTAACACCCGTACGACGATATCAATAATAATAATAATAATAATAGTATTATCTGCCACTACCAACACTCTACTCTGCCGGTAAACCGCGTTATAATACATACCACTACCACGCTGCTACACAACCATATACCTATACCGCCACCGAGAAACCACCCGACCATTTATAATTCAGCATATCACAAATCGTTGTCGTTCCGGGCGTGAAATCGAGCTCGCACACACGCATACATTGTCTTAAAATAAAAAATGATTCGATGAAAAAAAACCGTTCGAACGCGTGCCGCCGCCGCCGTCGAGAGCAGACAGATTGGCGACAAAACCTCATGCGTTTTTAGTCGAAACGCGTTGTACGTAAAGACGCGGCGGATTATCGAAGAAAGTCCAACCGGTACTTATAGTTTTCAACGTATTTAAATAGTCTAGGATGACGGCGGCCAGTAATCAGTTACACATGTGTCAAGTAATTGCGTAAATGAATTACATCATTGCCTACTCGTCTGTATATTGTCATTGTAATTTTCTACGAAAGTATCATAATAAGTAACGTTTAAATAAATCCGTGATTCCCCGCGATTCCATGAATATTTCACTGGTTTGATTCGGTTATAATTGAAAACTATATAGTATCTAAAATTGTCAATTGTAATTTTTTTTTTTATTATTATTATTTAGAAAATTTTATGAAACATTTATGCAGACCTGCTTTTACTGCTGTTTAATACCAACCTATACTAAAGTATTTATTATAAGTAAAAAATCAAGAGAATGCACTATTTTTAAAAAAATTTCATATCGATTTTCTTAATGTAAACTTAGTTATTATTTTTATAATTTGAACAAAAATAAAAAATAAATAAAAATATTGATTACTTATATATTTGTGTAACTTATATTTTTTCTCGAAAAGAGCTATAGAACAAGTAATCACTGTTCTCTTGTCTTCAAAAATGTGTTTTTACTTTAAATATAAACAATGGTCAATATTAAGAAAATATGAAAAGCAAATTTTACTTTGAAATTCATGTTTTAGCTCATAATTACTATTATAAGATTATGATTTATTACTCATATTAATATTTTTTTGTAATATACATTTGTGATGGAAATATGTGGTCATTAAATTTTCCAGTAAAGTGTGCTTCACTTCTTAACTTTTATTTTCACCTAAAATAAAATTATTATTATTATAATTAAAGAACTAATTGCAAAAAATAGTTTTCTAGACATATTTTGTTTAAAATGTGTTTCTGTGACTTAAAATAATTATGATTGAAACTTCATTATTATTTACTGCATTATTTCATTATCTTATATTATTTTAAGGATATAAAAGTGAATCAGATTAATATTAAACCGATATCAAAAAAAAAAAAAAAATTCTCTGGTAAAAATAACTAAAAATGAATTTATTTTATTTAAATAACTATCTTAAATTATCCTAATATTGTCGTCAAACATACGTGGCAGTCTTAAGATTATTTGATATTAATTATTATCTATATATGTCCTGTTTATTTTTAAATAGAATCCAATATTTCATTATTAAAGATTATCACGGAGAAAAAAATAAATGATCTTATAATGTAACTTATGTTCACTTATAAAATATACTTTCAAGAAATAAATATTATAAATTACTTTTATTTTATAGACAATTTGATGAATTAAATATTTAAAGCACTTGAGTCGAGTTTATCTGTATGTGTGATAGGTAAGTATTATTATAACACTGATTAGTGATAATCATAATATGCAGACATTTGGTTTAGGTGTGAATATCATTTTTTGACTTAAATTATATTTAGGACTCAAATTTACAAAATAATAATACGTAAAATTGTATTTATATTATAAACAGCTTATTGATGATTCTATAGCTAACCATAGAAAACCATAAAAGCAACCAATTAAAATAGCTTTTTTAGTTTTAACTTATTTTATTAATTGTTTATTAATTGATAATGTATGAACTATGTGTACAATTACTGTATTTTTTCACCTTTTTTATAGAAATAATAGCAATTATTATAAAAAAATAAAATATTTTGAACCGTGATACAACTTTTATAAACTCAAGCCATATATTATTCGAGTAAAAAAAATAAAAATGTATAATTTAATATAATATATACAAATCTAAGTAGTATTATATCATATAAGTACGAATATATATTATTTAAAATGTAATTTGTTGTATATTTTAATTTATGATTAAGTAAATAAATATCTATCTACTTAACAATAATTTGTTTATTTTAAGCTAAACATTAGATTATTATATATTTAAGGAAATACAATTTAAATTTATCATGAACTATCAACATTTATTAAAATAATATAACACGTTAATTTATAAGCATTTTATGCTACATATAAGTAAGTGCTGTTTACCACAATATTGTTGATTAACATATTTATCTTTTTAACTTTATATTTATTATTACAGAAAATTACGAGTCTCAGTATTAATGTACCAAAGCAAAATAATGATAAGTACCATCAAGTAAATATTTATATACTTATACAATCAATATGTATATTTTTTTCTTACAACTTTTAAAAAACTAAAAATCTACCATGTAGTTGTATCATACTGACAATGTAATCAAAGTTATATTACATGATAATATTAAAATTCCCATTGGTAAATAACCTAATCGTTTATAATATATAAATATCTACTTCTACCTAAAACCTTAGCTGCTATATAAATACGAAATTATAACATACGCGGTATCAACTGTAGTATAGCAGATTTTGTATTGCAATATTTAAATCGGATATCAATGTACGGCGAACCTATGCTAATGTGCACGACGTTTAGCTATTTAATGAATATTTAATGGTAGATTGAACATTTTGCAACGTTTTAGTTCTGGTAAAAAAAAAAAAAATAAGTGTGAGTAGAAGGACGAAATATCGCGTATATGGTTACGAGGACTCGATAGAAGGTGAAGGTCTTCGGAAAAGTGAAATCTTTATAGTAAAAATATTTGAATTATTTTATAATATATAATAGATATTATATAGATAGCGTTCGATCTACGAGTAGTTATATTGCGCTGTTATACCTACATCATTATTCATTTGTATTTTGTAAGCACATAAGCTGTTATAAATTACAAAACAATTGGATCATTTTAAACAATAGTTATTTATTATTACTTAATATTATTGCCAATAATATAAGATAAATTGAATGGCTGTTAAGATATATGTTGATATAGGTATTGCTTTACCAATAAACTGTTTAAGTACAATACACATTTGATTTAAAAACACAGAATATGTCTTAGTACTCACTACTCAACTATATAAAATTCTTTAAACTATTATATTTTGATATTTAATTAAATATTAGTTTAGTCAGTACATCTTCCATTTAATAATAACCTTTTTTTTTTTATGAAATACAATTTACATTTTTTTTTTTAATAATTTAATATTTTTATAATACAAATTGCCTTAACTACATCATAGTGTTACGATTAAAAATAGACTTAAAATGTTTAAAGAAAAAAATAATTAAGAAGTTGGTTTGATATCATCATTCATCATAAATGTTTATTTACAAAAATAATGGTTAGCACAAAATATTTTTAATAATAATATCATAATAAACAGTAATAAAAGATTAACGTTAGGTTTTATTTCGTTTTATATATAGCGTATTGTTTAAGCGCACTACAAATAGGTAGATACTAGATGCGTATAAATAATAAATTTATTACAACATATATTCTTCAAATATAAGCCTAGTATTTGATGAAATAAACAAATTTTTTTCTGTGAAAAATAAATTTAATTCAAGTAGTTTAAGTAGATTTTTTCTCTTAAATTATAAGAAAAAATGAATTTTTTTTTTTAATGAAAAATGTAAGTACAATTATTATTATACAAATAAAATGTAAATACTTATACTAAATAAACATTTAAATTATTATATTATATGTTACAAATTGTATGAGCGCATTTAAAATTTCTCATTTATGCTAGAAAACTTGTTTTAACACAGAAAACTTATAAATAAACCACTCGATTTCACACAAAACATTTTAATATAACTATGTGCTTAAACATACATTTTATTTTCTTGTTACCTATATTATTTTATTCGGCTGAATCAGCTGTATTTAAAAATATTATTAGGAGCCCTACTAGTGTTTATTTAAAAAGATGCAATAATTAGGCAATATCAAATTTCATCGTCACAACCCACGATATTTGAATTAAATTATATTATAACAACCCTGCTGACTAATAATGAAAAGCATGAGTTTTTGCTCAACACAAAGTTTACAAGAAAAACTCTCAAGCTTTGTAGAGTGATTTCATTTCATTATTTATTTATTTATTTATTTTTTTTTTTTTTAAGAGGATAATTTTACTTCAAATTGTACTTCAATTCTTAATAACGTTGCTTACAACAAAAATAATAATGAAAACAAAACTTTGTAAAAATTGGTTATATTCAAAATTACATCGTATGATAATAATTTAAAAATTAAATTTTGAAAATCGAAGTTCAAGTATGCTCTATAAGAAGTCTTTTTCTTTGTGAAAAAGAAAATTATTGCAATTAGATCACTTTACATGGAATGAGCTTTTCTTGTAAGGCGTATTTTTGAGTATAAAATAAATCACTTACAAATCCCTTATGCAAGTCTTGAAAATAAGATGCGAATGAGATGTAATTTTATTGATATGTACAAACTAAGGCAGTCAATATTAATATTATTAAACACACTTGTTGTGAATTTGACCTTTGCCTCCATCGTTATATTCTTGATGACTAAACCACAATTTTTGAAACGTCCCGGTTGATGCTACTATTGAACCGCCAATCCAAGCACCAAATCGTCTTTCAGCAGATCCATTAGGTGAAATCGTTTTCAATCTCATATTGGAGTGTACGCGTGCTGTGAGATCCCGATTTAACCTCTCTGGAAAACCCTTTAGAAACAAATGTATATTAATAAAAAATTGTATTTAAAAATAAAGTTAAAATATTTTACTTGTATCAATGAATTTCCACCAGTGATGACGATGTTATTATATAAGGTAGGTCTTATATCCATATCACACATTCCTGCGCTAGTGATGACAATATGACTTATGCTTAACATAGAACCACCCATATCAGGGCTAGGATCAAATAACATTTCAGGTATTTTGAATCTTTCATTACCAAATTCCTTAAAATTATAACATTATTTGTATATGTATTTAACTTTTTTTTTTTTTTTATTAAACATTATATTAGTACATTTATTTTTTAATTATTTTATTTATTAATTTTATATATATATTTATATATTGAGAATTTTCATTCATAATTTATTTTGCTAACTTATATTTACAATTATATATTGTCACTAAAGAAATAATTTATAAGATAAGTAAGTCTATACTATCAATTATTATAATAGTTAAATATATTGAATTCGCCAAATAATTTTATATTAATACTTGTTGAAAAATAATTTTGTAATCATCATTTTAATAAACATCATTGAATAATTGGTCTATTTTAAATCATCACCTTGATTGTTTTTGTTTAAAAAATATTCTGAATGGAGAAATAAATGTATTGTTTTATATTATGATGTACTTTTTATTATTTATTTTTGTGTAATTAAAAATCCTTAAAAATTTAATAAAGATTTCTCGTATTTACCTTTTTTTTAACATGTAATAAGAATAAAAGTTCACCGAAAATTTAAGTATGACTCAAACTTGAGTAGTTTTATTTTAGCTAAATAAGATCTTATAAAAAATTAATGGCTTTATAGTGTCCTCGCAATTATAAATAATTATTGGTGAAAAAAAAGTTGAAATATTATTTTTATTGAATTTTACCACTTAAATATGAGCTTAAAATTAATATTACTTGATTGTAGCCGTTAGGAAACTCGTAATGAGAAGTTGGTAAATTTGATACAATTTTATCATCATATGGAGTTTCAGAGACTTGCAACACAGAATGCTTAAAATCTTGAACGACTGATTGGCACATATAATTATACCAAGAGTCTGTCACTTCTGGTAATGTCCTTTTTTTTGTCCATATTGGTTTTTCTTTTTCTTTTATCAGTGTCTTTTTTGCTATCATGTAATGTGGTGTAACTTCAATATTATTTTCCTATCAAAAATAAAATTAAAAATTGAAATAGACAAATAGATTATTACCATAATATAACAATATTATAGGACTTACAGCCAAGTACTTTTTGCATTGCGTGCTAATGAAATTTCCACCCAAAGGACATTTTACAACAGCAGAAGGTATTATAAAGCCATCGTGCACAGGAATGGCAGACGTATGTACTGCGCCACTATCAACGACAATACTAGTGGAACGGCCACAAGAAAATGCAGCTAATACAGCATTTCTACAAAGATAAATAGCCGGCACTTGGTACTTTTCAAACATTATTTCCACCAATTTCTCTCTTTTAGATTTAGTATTTAACGGCGATTCACTAAATAATATTGGATGATATTGTGGCTCTGCGTGCAAGCACTTTGAGTAAGAATAATCAATAATCTTTTCAAATAGATCCCAGTCGTCGATCATTCCGTCTTTCATACAGTTCTTTAATTCTTTGTCTTAAAAAAAAATAATAAATATTAAATTTGAAATATTACTCAAGTAAAATTGTTCTCTTAGGTTAGAGAAAATATTAAAATTAATGATAATAAACAATAAATAATAAAAATAAAAATAACAGTGCAAACAAGAAAATATAACACGATTTCCTGTCCACTCTTGAGTAGTTACTTATTATATTTTTTGAGGATCACCAGTCATATTAAATTTATAAGATACACTTTAATTGATATAGTGAATTAATACGAATGGTATAACATATTTCATTTTAACAACCAATAAGCGACTCATTGAAATCACAAGTTAATGCTAAATAATACTAAATTAAAAATTATTTGGTATTTATACCAAATCAGAGAACAGAAGAAATTTATTGGCCTTCCGGAAAGAAAATTCCATTGTTTAAGTTCTATCATACTAATGCAGTAAGCTAATAAATACCTAAAAGCTTATTTCCAGGGCCGTAGTAAAAGCAAATAATTTGAATGGTGCAGTAGTATAGACAATTTTTGTAAACCTTTGGTATTAGACCATAATATCTTTACAGAACTTTTCATTACGTATTATAATAATATACATTTTAAACTCATACTACTACTACCATGGAGTGACGAACTTTTAAAAAGAAATAGAATATGATTATTTTGTATATAATACAAATTTAATGTAAGTAAATTCTTATTTACCTTTACGAGGAACGCACAATGACGTAACATCAATGAAATATTTGGTGTTCCCGTTGATCCGATTACCATATTTTGCACCGGGTTCCAACGCACTCGTATCTGGCGTCCCATCATTCAATACACCAACTATGGACGGTATTTCTGCTTTTGGAGAATCGTCTTGGGCGAAGCCAATTCGCATCGATTGTGATCCTAAGTCGAACACCATCGCACCAATTTCATCCCCACCATACAACATATTGATATTCATGTTTCTGATTTACTATTCACGAAAATAAATAGATCACAATTTTATTCACGAAAAAATGCAATATTATAATTATAAAGTAGACGTTGGAGATTTAGGATTCTGGTTACGATACCTTCACTCATTACGAACAATCAACATAATAACAACAATAACAATTGGAATGTTGATCGACAACTACTGATGATTAAACAGATCTGTTTTTATTGTATTCTTAAAACAAACGTACTTACAGTATTGCCAAACTTCAGTGTTATTACGTTGAGTCAGTTTCGACGATTATTTCTTAGTATCCACTGTTAGAAATGAAAATTGTTATGGACTAGTAATGGTGTACACACCAGCAACGATGCAGTGTTTGATATTATGCAGAACTAAAACTTAACGTTTGGGAATAGGAGGAAAAAAATCAATAAACTAACCGGTAGGAGGGACCATCAGTGTGAGAGTATATTATGTGAGAAGGAGAAGTCACTAATATTGATTTTAACTACCAACATGAGGGTAAAAACAGATGTGTTTCACCCGTATCTCCAGACGTGAATGTCGAAGGGAGCAGATCCCCTTTTTCCTTTATCCTCCGAATCTTTTTATATCAACACCCTCTCTCAAATTCTCGTAATTTTTTACCTCTCTACCTGTTATAATTTGTAAACCACACATGTCCAATGGTTAAATATAACCGACTTATAACAATAATATTTTAATAATAAAAAATAACAACACAATAAAAATATATAAATGTAAAATATGATATGCTTAAAATTGTTGTTCTCATTCCCATCTACTAAGTACATTATCATAAATTAGTATGAACGGGAATTAGAATGATAGATTTAATAGTTTATAGTCAGTGGTACAAACAGGAGTGAGTTAAAAATTTGTGACTCTTTCTGGCTCTTATAACCATTATTTTTTTCATTAGATTAAATAATTTTTGATATAAAAAATAAATGTTATTGGATCTAATGCTTTATGACTGTAATTATAATATTATGATACCAGTTATTTTTATAACACTTTAACCCTTTTCTATTCAGATCACCGATACTCGATTCGCCAAAAATTAAACAGGTTTTTATCATTTATCTAACAACATTTCTCAATTTCTCAAAAATGAATAATAAACATTATACAATATTAATAATATTATATAATAACACTATGGATGATGGAATGTCCATATAAATCCCAATATATATATATATATATCTACATATTTTATATTTATATATTATATATATTTATTACTAGGACACGGATGTTGTTGCATTTGCTGCAACTTTTTTTCTACTTTTTCAATTACTTGCTAAGTTTAAAATGCATGCCATGCAAGTACAAACTAAAATCTAAAAGTTTTGAATGCATTTTTCTGCAATTTCTGGAATTTTTGAATTACACAAAATTACAACTTTATTGAATTTACTCATTTATAAAACAATTTTAACAATTTTTTTAAGTATTTATATATATTATAATTATATTAACATTTTATCTTTATTTCTTAATTTGTTTATTCACTTAACTTGACATTAAATCAACTATATTCGTTGCAATATTCCCTAAACTAACAACGATGATTACCCAACACATCTGGTTTATTGTAAGTTGTCTACCTAAATCTTCGATCATGCTACATACCATATTTAGCCAGTAGTTAATTAACAAGTAGGTTATAACATTTATCTTAAAAATAAATATTATATACGATACTAGTTGAAAAAAAATTGAATAAAGTGATATATCAAAATGATTGATGTTTCAAAATGTAAAGTGTATTAATCTGAGATACATACGTTAAAAATCACCTGGTGGTGATAAAGTTTGAAAATAATGTATAATTTTTACATTGATGTAAATTGATGATGATTATACAATATTTATATTTAGTTTTTGGTATTATTGATATTTTTTGGTTAAATATTGAACTTCAAATGTCTAAGAAAATAGTGTTTGTCCGTTTATGATTTTTTTTGTGTTTATTTTTATTTTCGTTTCAAAATAAATTACTTACGTGGAATTTTATACTATTCAAGGCTCGGATATAATAATTGAACATTTTATAAATTTTTAATTGTAAAATAATTTTCAAATTCTCGTGATTTTTACGTAGTTTGTCATAATTTTAAATTCAAATAGTTATATAAAAATAAAATCATAAACGTGAATTTTTAATATTTTTAAATAGCTTGATAAAATGTTAATTAAATTATCAATATTTTTTCTTTGAAATTGGTCGCCAAAAAGTATTGAAGAAAAAAGTAAAAGATTTGATTAATTTCATATATATATATATATACACACACACTGCACATCACTTGGTACAAAATCTAAAATATTTTATGATATTAACTATTGTTTGATTATGAAATAAATAAATAATAATGAATACCTCTACAGCCGTTTTCTTTTAAACGTCTGTTAAAGATATTCAATTAAATTTATTGATTTATTGTCGTGGTACCTCCACTGGGAAGCAATCCGTCTAAACTGTCATTATTATTATTATTTTTTAAATTTAATTTAGATTCTATTATCAATTATTCTTATTGTTCTTTCTCTTTTTGAAACAGATTGAATAAAATAATATGCACAAAAATAAATTTATTGATTAAATGTTGAAGTGTATAGCCTAAAAATATATTTCTATCATAAAATAATTAATTATTTGTATTTATTTGACAGAATATCAGGAAAATTATATTTTATGTATTCTAAAATTTCAAAATATTTCAACGTGTGGGCTTGGCTAGCAGTTAATCCAATAAATATTCATTATCATATTAATTAATGTTTAATTAATAATATTCTGAAAAATCATTGCAAAATTAAAATAATGAAATTCGGATATAAATTGATAATTTATGTATGATAGAATTTAATCTCAAAGATTACTTATAAATTTGAAAATTTAAATTAAATTGAAATATTATCGAAATGAATATAAAAAAAATCGGTTCGAATATCTACTGAGACCCATGTACTAGACTCTCTAGACCCCTGGTTGCTGATAGTTAAAATAATTGATTTTAAAAAATACTAACGAAATTTGAAATACACTGCGTTTGTTGACACTTTTTGAGATGATTATCTGAAATTCGCTTATACACTTATGACGTCATTATGAGTAATTTTTTGTAGTTTATAGTTTTCAGAAAATATTGTAAAATATTGAAAAATGACATGTTCGAAGCATAATTCTGATTCGATTTTCTATATTTTTTGAAGTAACCTTTTTAGTAGTTTTTCATCTAAATGAAAATTTTCAAAAAATATTATTTTACCTAAAATACTGCTCTTTTTAATTAAAATAAAGATAATATAAGACAATAACAAATTAATATTGAATTCTAAAACTCCTTGAAACTTTAGAAAAAATATAAAATTCAAAAACTATTATGAACTGTTGGGCTAAGTAACTATAATACGAAAAATCAATTATTTAGAAAATTACATCACAAATAGAAAATTATAATACAAACATTTAATAACAATATTTTATAAAATATTATATTTATTTTATAATTTTTTTTTAATTCCAACAAAAAACTTTATATTAAATTTGTTAACATTATGTATAACATTTTAAGAAATTTTTAAGGTTTATAATAGCATTTTGCAACTATGAATTTTCAATATTTTTAATTGGAAAATGAATAATTTATCAAAAATTTTACATTTTCAAAGTTTTTATAAAACCAAAACCAAAATCAAAACTCAAAAAATTTAATTCTTAAAATTTAAGTTTAATTTTTTAAGTATTAAGTATTAATGATTGAATAATTGAATAAAATTTATTATCCCAGCTCAGGATTATTTTTTCTATGTAATAACTTATGAATGGAACTAAATTTAATACTTCTATTTAAAGGGCCTACTCAATAATACACACTCGACACCGACCGAGTACTTATAGTTACCTATTTACCTATTTTTTTTTTTTTTAGTTTAAAAATATAGTTTTTAAACATGTATGTATAATGCTAGTCATTTAAATGTATCAATAATTTACAAATATACCACATGATGCTATACTTACTCATAACATTACCAGTACGTAGCATAGTTCAGTTCCTATAGATAGGTAACGTTTTTATAAGCTTTATAGTTCAATACGTCTTGTCTTGGATAATTTTATTTATTTATTTTTTTTTTTTTTTATGTTACTTCATAAAAATTGTTGGGTACATATTATAATACATTAATAGTACATATTTTGTACCTTTATCATAATGGATAATACAAATTAATGCAAACATTTATATAGTTTATAAATTGTCTGTCTCACCAACATATTGTTTTTAAGAATAATCTTTAGGAAGTGTTAAATAATTTGAGCTGCAAAACTTTTAGTAATCAAATGTATAATATTTTGTCACTTACAACAAAATAAAAAAAAAATCCACATACAGTTAAATTTAATTGTGTTATTAATTAAACAAAAGTTGCTTATAACACAGAGATGACACCAATTATAAGCTGAAAATGAGCAGTTACAATATTTTATTTAAGATATAAAACATTAAACAATTAAATACTTTTTGAATATCAAATTGTTTAGATATTCAATAGCTAATGTTAATGTAAATCTCAAATTATAATTTACATAAAATAGGATTAGTATAAATAACCTTGTATAGTATTAATATATTATCATGTTTTTCTTATAATTTAGGCTTGTAAAGTTAAAATAATGTTTAATTGTAATGTTAAAAGTTACAAAAAAAATTTTTAGTTTGCAAATGCAATAAAAAAAAAAAAATATACATATGATAAAACAAAATATGTACCTAGATATTAAAAAAAAAAAAATAACAAAAAACAAAATTTTTCTAACGGATGTATTATTACTTTGTACAAGCACATTTACTTAATGTATTAAAATAAGTATAAATAAGAAAAAAACAGTAATATAAAACACAAACATATTTTTCATAATTTTTATCAACGATTATAATCATAAATTAGTTTATATTCATAAATATAAACTGTTAAAACTAATATAAAAAAATATACATAAAAGTAGGTATAAATACCAAGTTTTGAAATAGGGTTTGGTGACAGTTGATTAGGGGAAAGTTATTTTTTGTTTACCAAACACACACAAACAAAATAAACACATACACTCAAAGTTTAATGAATATTGTTTGAATCAAATCTCGTTCTTTAAATTTAATAATTTGTACTAACTAGTTATAATAATAAATAGATTTTAATTTTACATGGTCTTCGAAATCATATTTTATTAATATAAATATTGGCTGTGAATCTGTATCAAAATACATTTTTATTAGCTTATTTATACAATATAACTTTCTTTATATAAAGTTAAACAACATACTAATATATTCAATTTTAAAACTTATTTTTTTTTATATATATTTTTAAAATTGTTATGTCATTTTTTAACACATTTTATAAATATATTTTACGATATTTTTGAAAGTTTTCATGATTTAAAATTTATTTATACACATTTTTGTATTTATTTATTTTTATTTAATTTGTACTACACTGGATATAACAGTGTGTATATAATGTAAATTGTAAATTATTTTTATTTAAAAACTACATTTGTTGTTCAGTTGAATAATAGAGACAAACAAGAAGACCACAAATAAATAATTTCCTATACTTAAAAAAAAAAAAAAATGTCTCAGGCAAATAAAAGTAAGTAAAATATCAAATTCAGCAATAATTTATTTACCACTCTTAAGTGCTTTAAATTAATAGCCTCATTTAATATTGTGATGCCCATTTAATATTATGATATATTTATATGCTATTAATGTTTAAACGATTTATTCTATTTAATAAAAAAAATTGTTTGCTACTCGATATGTTTGATATTTGCAAATATTTTATGATGAAACTATGCAATGTATTGACTATGGATATCATTGTATTATTTGTACACTTATTAGACATAATATTATACTATTCCACAAATAAAAAGTAAATATTTCGGACTTTTCAATAGTAAATAAGATTAATTTAATCAAACCCACAATATTATTAAATAATATTACACAAATATATTATTAGTCCAATAGAGTTACGAAAAACATATAATAAACTTATATTTTACTGAGGAACCTGTAATACAGTTATTGAATTCAAACCAATCTAAATCATTACTAACAAAACTTTTCTTTTCAATCTAATAATATGAATTTACATAGTTAGACGGGTCATTGCAATAAAGAGGTACATTATAGTATGTTATAAATCCTTGAGTTGGCGATCCTAGTATATTGCTAAAATGTATAGGCGGTGTGTTTGGTGGTTCAAAGTAGGGTGGTTCAAAGTTGGGTGGTTCAAAGTTGGGTGGTTCATAGTTGGGTGTTAAGTTACCATTTATAGAAGAGGCAGCCGAAGGTAAGTCTGGAATAGAATAAATATCTTTAACTTCAGACACACACTCCAAAATTTTGATTTTCACATCATCAATAGCACGAATACAGAAATCTTCCATGTCTGCTGATACACTCTTGAAAAATAAATCCATTGTCTTAGTGACTCCCAACTTATCATTCAGTATTTCAATTTGTTTTTGTAAGTTGAATAAAATTTTATTTCCTTCGTCAAAATGGGCACATTTTTTACCAGTAGAACAAGACAGATTATCCGATGGTACATCTGAGTTATGATACATTTCTCTGACTTCAGAAACACATTTCAAAATTCTAGGTTTGATGTCATCAATTGCACGAGGACAGAAATCTTGAACATCCAGTAATACGCTCTTAAAAAACAAATCCAATGATTTAGAAGTGTCTGGTTTATTACTAAGCATTTCAATTTGTTTTTGCAAATTATGTAAAATCGTATTTCTCTCCTTGGATTGAGCCAGTTTCTCAGCTAAATAACAAGACACCGAATCTGGTAGTTGTGGCAATGCAAATTCTCTATCATGAGTAGTCTCATCAGTGACGTTTTCTCCGTGTTCATTTTTCAATTCTTTGCTTTGAACGTTTGAAGTGGCACTGTAAATTTTATTAATATTAATAAAAACATATTTAATAACTTGTACGTTAATGACAATGTATAAAGATAAGAGAAGTTGTAGTTAAAATGCAAAATCATGGTTGAGTTATAAAAATAAAATAAATTTAGATTAAAACTATTTAATTTGTTAAAATAGTTCCAATTAAAACATCAATTGTGACATATACTTATAGGTATTAATCGATTAAATTTATGTCATGCGTCAAATATACATAAATTTGGAACTTACTTTTGATCATATTGAATTGTGACCGTAAATGAAGTATTATCAAGTATTTCAATTTGCTTTTGCAAGCTGTTATACAATATTTCATTTCTTTCTTTTAATCCTTCTGCTAAAATAGCCGCTATTTTGTTTTCTTTTAATTGAGTAGTATTCTCAGCAGAAGAAGAAGTTGGCAATGCTAAATTATTGTCATTCAAAAACTTAACATCAATCTGTTCCCCAAGTTGCAGTTGTACTTCACCATTTTCATTGTTAGCTTTGATGCTGTAATTTTTATTTTTTAATAATAATATTTTAGTATTGTATCATTTGTTTATATATATATATATATATATATATATGGGGTGATGCATTTACCTAATACTATAAATAGGCACTTAAAGTTATTTAAAAATATTTAATTTTTTTGAAGTTGTAAAATTAGTTTATAAAATTATGTGTATAATATTTGATAAATAAATACAATTATTCTAAAATGTTTGAAATTAAAAAAAAAAAAAAAAAAATGGTGTTTAAAATAAATCAATATTAAATAAAAAAATACAATTTTTTTAAATATTTAAACAAAAACTCTGTATAACTCTTAACATGACAGTAGCAAAATTAATTCTGAAATTGATCTAGATTGTTTTTGTATTAATGAAAATGTTATTTTTAAATCAAAAATTAATTTCACTCAATATGTTATATAAAAAAACTACTACAAAAGCATTGAAGTGTTCCTGGAAGTTATTGATTATAAATTTACAATTAATTTAATTACACAGGAACAAACTCAACAGATATATAATATAGAAATAATCAATATTAAATAAATCAAACATCTATGAATCCTTTTTATAAAATTAAAATCCTTAAACTAACCAAATTTAATATGATATCTTATTAATTATTATATATATATATATATTATATATGTATGTATGTATATATTTTAAACTATTAAAACTTACTTTTGTTCACACAGATTTTCATCTAGAAATGATACATAAGTAGTCAATGGCCAATTGTTATTCATTGATGATGCAGTTTCCATGTTACTTTTACTCTTCAAGTAATATGCTTTTATGTTTTTCCATCGTCTCTTACATTGATAAACTATTAATATAATATATTTAATTACTAGTTAAGCAATAATGATTAGAGGTAAAATTAATAACTCAATTCTTTTATAATTTTTATATATTATCTATAATACTTGTTTAATAAGATATTGTATAATATTTACTATTTAGTACCTATGACAAGAAGTTTTAAGAAATAAAAGTTTAAATTCGATAAAATATTTTTAAACAAAGCCATAATTCGTAAAAAAATTAATAAAAAAAATATTTTGACTATCAAACTATAGTAAATGTTGATCTTTATGCAAAATGTATAAGTAACTAAATAAATAATCATATTTTTTATTTATACAAGTATAATTTTCCGAGCCCAATTTATAATAACAAAAAAGTCATCTGTAACAACAACAGGTCGGCCAACGAGTATGGATAATGAAAACTTTAGTTTTGCGCCACGATTTTTACAATATATTATGTACATAATAAGTAGATACTAAGACTAAAATTAACTTCGAACGAAAATACTCCACTCCTCAAGCTCTGTTTACTCATAAAAACGTATTCCAACATCTTACAAATTTCCCCTATTTAATTTACGCTCAACGTTCTTATAGTACAAAATAAGAAGTTATTAATTGTATGCATTATATAATATTAATATATTATATTGTATATTTAAGTATGTACATTTTTTTTTGATTTCTCGTATCGTTATTTTTTTTTTATATACACAAAATTATCTCTCTCAAAGAAACTACACAAAAAACGCTCATAAACTTAATCGAATCCACGAGAAAAGTGACAACTATCAATGTTTTAAGTACTTGTTTTTTCCTTTTTATTATAAATACATATATTACGTATTGTGAAATAACTAAAATATCTACATAAATGTTAAAACATGTAAGTTATACACTATAATAAATAATAATGAAAAAAAAAAAAAATGTTATATGAGAAAACGATTTTTAATTGATAATATTATTTTATGTATACATTAAATAAAAAAAAAAATATAAAAAATGTTTCTGGTTTCCGACGGAGTGAGTCATAGATAAAAACTATTGACTTCAAATGTCATCAAAATTATTATCTGATAAACAATGAAAAAAGCCCATTTAAGCCCCCCTCCCCAACAACTACCTTGCTATATCGTTATACTCGCACATATTATTAAATTATTTTATTGAATAGATGGTACCTATGTCATAGAATTATATTATGATTACACAATCACTCACCTACAACACAACATTATAATAATAATATGACAATAGATTTATCATTAAGCTTTTTACCCGATTTTCCGATGTCGATCGATATTTCGTTCCATACGCGGTCCTTGAACACATTATCCTTGTGCTTTTTGTGCTTGACGTCGTACAGCTCGCGGTGTTCGCGGATCAAGTCGACCAAGATAATGTCGTCTTCGTGAGTAAATCCGTTAACGCTCGGCATGACGATGAGACTGGGAAAATTATTAGAACCTTCAACACACGTCCCGTAACAGCGGCGGTTACTGCGATACAAGCTCTCGGTCCCCGTAGTGGCTGAAACACACGCTAATACGGAGCGGCGCTACTAAACATATGGACCAGCGCAGTGTATACTATAGTGCTATATATTTTGTAGTAATATTAGTTGATGTGTATATACACACGCGCATTGGCGGCGGCAACAATTGATCGGCGGCGCACGAAAAACCGAAGGCTTACTCCCCCGTCCACCCTTGGTTACTCTACCGCTACCAAAACCACCCACAAAACGCCGCCGATTTTCCCGCCGCCGCTATAGACCCTAAGCTGAGGCGACGACTGAGCTCGGGTAGATAGTATCTACCTATTTGAAATTATTTTCGCGAATGGTTTCGGTTGAAAAAAATATATTCCTATAAATAAAACATAGTGTACAAAAAACATACCTATTTTATTAAAATATATTACAATTGTAAAAATATTATTACTACGACTTTTTCGAATCAAACGAAAACCTTTTTCTCCGGTAAAATTTGGTGTTGTCGACACGTGCCGTGTGAAATCATTTTATTTAGTACAGGGGCATTTTTTTTTTTTAAACTGTTGTACCGTGAAATGAGATTTTAGATTACCCATTACTACGTTCGTTTACGTTTATATAAAAATACACTTCGAGATTCGATAAATTCCACTTCGATTTCATACGTGTTACAGAACTGTCCTACTGTATAAATATATCATATTTTTTTAAATTTATGAAGTTTTAGATCACACCTATTTAGTTAGTTGATTTTTAACACACACATTTTTCTATCATCGCAAACGTGACATTCTAATGTAAACGATTTATTTAAATTTTTAAAAATATGATAAGCAATGAAGCATTTTATCACAGAATTTATTTTAAGCGAAATGCTATGAAGTTTGGTATTATAACTAATTTCTGCCACAGTATTTTATAATATATGATATTTTTAAATAGCATTTACTTAACATTTTTTTTTTTTTGATTAATTTATTTCCTAAAAAATAACTTTATTATACTGTCGTAGCACAGGGTAAATACATAATACTAATGGTTGTTGATACATTAAATAATTGACTTAAAAACTTGAGATTTACGCTTTTGACTGTCGCCGGTGGTGATGAATAAAATGTTGTGGATCAAAAACTAAAAACGGTAATTTAATTATTTGGACTTGCATGAAGGTTTTGTAACAACACAACCAATGATGTGTAATAGAAATGATATTGACTGTTCTGATATCTTCACTGTTTAAATTTGTTTTCCGTTACAACTGAAATAACCGATATTGTCGTCTGTCATTTTTTGCTTAATGTCTTTGATTTCCGATAGCATAGTGAACATTTCTGAGTTTTTCATTTATGATAGTAATTAGTAATTATAGAATGCAATTCTTAATAAAAGATGATTAATTAAATTAAATAAACAAACGTGTCAAGTTAAGTTAAATGCGTTTTATAATAAGACACGGTGCTGTAGTAGTTAGAATTTATTTTTATTTTTTTTGTGGAAGAGATAAATTAATTAAGGAATTTTATTGGAACCAAAACTTTACTTACGATTATTAAAATTTACTATAGTGTTGGTGTTTATTCCCAAGCTACGCCTTATAATCCCTCTTTCTAACCACAGACATAAAAACAAATAGGTATGACAATTATTTAAAAGGTTAATATTTTAACCGGGAAGATTGCAAACAGAAACTTGTGTGAAAATTTAATTATTTCAAATACATTTGAGTTTAATCTAATCGGTGATTACGAAACAGTTGTACAAAAATTAATTCTTATGACTATAATATTTTAATCCTAAGAAGATTATTAAATCCCATGGTTATGGCTGTGGCTGATAATTAAGTAAATATAAAATTACCTAAACAAGTAAAAAAATTAATTAAAACATGATGACATGTACTGACTATTGCTATTTCCATTATAGATAAAACACTTAAAATAAAATCAAAAAAATAATATTTTAAAGAAAATTAGATCTCTGTTTTCGCATTTATTTAGTAGGCATTCGGGTATTTATTCTACAAGTTAAAATATAATTAATACCTATTTGTTTATTTATTTTCAAACATATTTTAATAGTTATAACTATTTTTAAATAATATTTTGTAAAATAAATTTAATTAATAATTATCTTCAAAATATTTATTTAAAACTAATATTTTTTTTTTGGTTTTTTTTCTCTAGAACCCTTATAGAATCAATCAATGTATATTTCAATACTCCACATATATGTTTTACTTTTAAAATTTGGGATTTTAATTTGTAGCGATTATTGAGATTACTTGTAACATAAAAACTACGTAGAATTAGAAGTATATTGTTACATATTAATACGAGGTGTTTTTACTGTTTTTAGTAATAGTCAATAGACAGTTGGCATAAATTATATTGAAATTAATGGCGTCTATGACAAATTGATGATTTTTATTGTTTATATTTTCACCTAGGTACCGTTAAACGATTTCGATGAGTGCGTTCCTTGGCTCTGTAAACTAAATTTTTTTCTTTAAAATTTATATTATGCTATAGTAACAAATTCGTAACCACAAATTTAGAATTCGTTATCTAAAGCTCATACCACAAAATCAAAATTTTCCATGTGAGTATCTCGGTATGTTAGGTTACAAATTCAAAATTTATAGTTAAAAATAGTTGCGAATTGATTACTATATAGCATAGCATCAATTTCAAAGAAAACATTTTAGTTTGTGATGCCAGGGTAATGCATGTAATGTTGACCCGTGAACAAATAAGTCATCGTTGTATTAATTTATTATTGAAAAGGTAATCATCATAATGAAATAAATAATCAAATGACAAGCATCGATTTTGTGTAGTTACCATAACTGTTATATTTAATATTATCTATATATTATTTATATTATTATCAGTAGTATATAATATTTGTTTTGAGAAGTATTATTATTATTATAATTATTGCTAAGTGGTTAATGTTTGCATTATCATTAATATTAACGGCCATCGTTTGAAAGAAAAATATAGAGAATAAATAGGGAAAGAGCAAAAAAGAGACAAGGAAAACGGAAAAATAGAAAATAAATAGAGAAAAACCAATAGAATGTTTAATGTATATGTGTATTGTATACCTACTATATTATATAAAGGGCCTCATTCATTCACCATAATGTTATTAACAACATCACTGGTCTATACTTGGAGAAAATAAACCTTCTAATATACGTATACCTATTTATATATATATTATTATTATTATTATTTAATGTCAACAAATCTTATAAAGATGAGGTGAAGTAGGTTTTTGATTTTATTGATGTTTCTATCTCGTCGGTCTGTTAAACTTGTATTTAATTATACACAATCGGTCTTTGCAGTAATAAAATCCGAAAAATTCTGTCAAATATTCTACGATGGAAGAATACATAGATTGCGACAGATGTAATTGTTGTACGTAGTGATAATTTTGAAAATCATTATGAGGTACCATGTTTTTTAAGAACCACTACCTCCAGGGAAGCGGTAATCACCCCTACTATCCCATATTCACCACTATTAGCTATAAAAAAATCTATAAAAAAGTATAGTTAGACTATACTTTTAATTTAAAAACCATAAAATAAAATTATGTAACATTAAGCACATTCTTCTTAGTATCTAATTGACCGCACAATCTAATGCTTCACCTAACGACTAATACAAAATAATAAAAAAAAATCGTTATCTCATTATTATAATAATACTATGATATTATCAGGTAATAACTTATAGGTATTACATTTGCATATTTTGTAAACAAAAAATTAATTTTAAACATTTTTCGCTGACACTTAGTATTTTTAGACCTTTTTTATTTTTTACGCAGTTTTATGACATGATTAAACAACATTTTTAAAAGAAATTTTATTCCTATCATTATCGTTTTTTCTTTTTTAGACAACAACATTTAGTTTTTATATTTACCAAAGAATTTTTACATACACGTATGCTGCAATATTATACAAATAAAATTAAATATCAGTAATAATTAATTATTTTTATTTAAAGTTTAAAGAGTGGATTAGAATTTTAGAAATTAAACACTTTTGGTACTTGGAGGTAGTAAATGCATCTGTACCCAATCGACCAAATATTGGTTATTATTCTACACATCAAAATTTTTACCTAGTATTCGGAGTTTCTAAGCACATATGTAGATATATAAATATTGTAAGTATTGATTAACTTCTAATTAATATACTATCGGGCAATACTTAATAAACTTAACTATAAATTCTAAATCTACTCAAGCTTTAATTTCAACAGTAATATATATCTATAAAAAATAAATAATAATTATAAAAAAATATTCACTAAAAACTCTATACAAGCAGCTTATAAGGTACATCGTAATTAATAACATCGTACTTATTCATGTCATTTAGCTTAATTTTAAAAGAGATAGCCATTTAATGCATAAAAATAAAATAATACGTAGCCTAAATTGATAACTCTCAAATTATAGTAATAATATAGGTGACTAATATGTACCTATATAATATTATTATTAACAGTAAACATAATAGCATGATAAAAAAAAAAAAAAATAATGCTTTAAAATAACAGTTAAAATAAATTTTATTTTATTTATATTTATTTTTCTTCTATACAATATATAGAATCAATTTTAGTGACTTGAATAATTTAAAGCCAATTATTTTTAAGAGACATACCCAATACTTTGTTGTAAGTCATCTAGATCACATTTCAATTTTTTTAGTTCCATTTTATACTCATCGTTACAAGAATCACACGATTTTTTAGCATATTTTTGGATAACAGCTCTTGTATTGGTAGACAGACCACATGTAAATTTCATGTCTGTTGTGGAATTTGCTGTTCTACAGGAATTTTCGCATTTCTTTGTTGGACAACAAGGATTAGTTTCACATTTCTCTGTTGGACAACTAGGAGTAATTTCACACTTTTTTATTGGGCAACAAGGATCAGTTTCACATTTCTTTGTTGGACAACTAGAAGTAGTTTCGCATTTCTTTTTTGGACAACAACAAGGGTTATTTCCGCATTTCTTAGGGCAACAATAAGCTTCGATATTGCATTTGATTTGCTCAATTTTTTCTGATAGTAAACACATTTGTTTTAGTTGACATTCTCTTTCGTAAAGTTTATTTTTCAATGTACTTGTTTCCGTACATTTACTTTCATTTTCTTGTTGTAACTGCAAATTTTTTTCCTTCAAAGAACCTAAATCATTGTTCTTTGCACAAATTTCTTCTTGCAATTTCTGTATCCGATTTTTCATTTCCAAATAATTTTTTACTGTCACTTTATTCACTTCTATTAATTTTGAAGCAAACTTTTTGGATTTACATCTCTCTTCGTTTAATTTACACATTGCTTCGTCGTATCGTATCTCTAAGTCATTAAACTTTTTGCAGCTAATTTTCAACTCGTTTGATAAATGTTCTCGTTCTTGCCTGAATCTTTCCTCCATACGATTAGCAGATAATTTTGTGTCATATAGACTTTTTTTTGTGCATTTTAAGTCCATATTCAACATTCTGTTTGTCTCATTCAATTTATTGCATTCATTTTTACACTCCTCAAATTCCTTGCGAACTTTACAGAGTTCCTGTTCATTACATTTCAAATTCTTTTTTAATTTATTAACCATTTGGTTTTTTTCTTCCAATTCCGACTAAAAATTTTAAATTCAAATTTGTGAATACTTTAGCAATAGTATATAGTTATTAAGTTTTTAATTATAGTAATTATATATGAAATATGAGTCCGAGAGTCCGAGTGATTTATTGTATAAAAAAAAAAAAAAAAACAAAATTCGATGGGTTCATACTTTATAATGTATACTATATATTATGTGATTGTATATTAGATTAGCTTTATCTAAAGGAGTATAGATGACCAATGTCATCTTAAAAATTTTTGTTTAACTTAACTTGATGATCATTATAGTCGAATGAAATACACGGCAGTATTAAATTTAGCATTATTATAAATAAATTAAATTAACTATGAAAACAACTAGAATGGAAAGTCGATCATAAGATTTATAACGAAGTTTACCTATATATTGAAAATTTTACTTTCGTCTGTAGAATAAAATTCATTGTTCCTGCAAGAGTAGTTAACTTAATATGATATATAAGTATTTTTAATTACTAATTAGTGTAATATAATATTTTTTATAAATTTAGATTTATGAAAATTAAAATTAAAATCCTTAAACAATCTAAATTCATTTTTTATCATATTCTAATAGGTACTGATTTTTATAGTAATTGTATCATTCTATCATTAAGAAAATAAAGTATTCACTTGAGTTGTACATAATTCCCTCTCAACACATTTTAAAGTTGTTTCGGTTTCTGTTAACTGTAATTGTAATTTATTTTCATTACATTTTGCAGCTTTTAATTGACGATTTAAATAGTTGTTAGCATCTTCCAATTCTCCGTATCTGTGTTCCCATTTATACTCTAAATCCGCGGCTTTTTTAAGCTTTTCTGATTGAATATCACATGTAGCTAATAGTTCATTCAACGCTTTCTTATGGCCATTATAATTGTCTTCTTTACTTTGTTCAAATTGTTTGCATAATTTTTGTAAACTATCTCTCTCAGAAACAACTGCATCAAACTCTTCTAACATTTTATTTAACTTGCATATTTTTTTCTTTTGAAAAGATATAATTTCTGTTAACTCTTGTGTTGTGTCTTTAGAACACATATCTAAATAAATAAAATAAATGTTAGATAATTATTTTGGAAATTGTATCGTACATATTACTGTGAATAACTTACTTCGTATTTATTTATTATTTATAAGTATTTAGAATAAAATTTAAATGTAAAAAAAAATTTGTGAATAATTTGTTTTTATATTTATTGTATTTTGTAGTTTATGACATTTATTTATAATCAAACAAAAGTTCTGTTGCTATACCTGTAATACTAATGTAAATTAATAAAATTATATAACACATAATAACATTTAAAACATACTTTTTATTAAATATTATAATAATTTTCAACTTAAATTTTGCACTTTGTTCATTTTTATTAAAATTTGAACTCCGAGTGTAAATCAAAATATAATATTAATGAATATTTAAATTAAATTAGGTACATTATTACTGAAAATTCAAATGATTTTAAAGATGAATAATATATTATATAAACACTAATTTTGTATAACATATAAAAAGTAATAGTTCTTCATGACCTCTAAAAACCGAAGAATATAAGCTGTATTTGCATTAGAAGTGGAGTTAGAATGGGAAACACACTATGATAAAACTAATCATTAGCCCTATCAACAAAAAAAAAAAAATTTGCTTCACCCCTGCATAGATGATTTTTGCCAGCTCAATCTGCAAAAATATCTATTTAATATGTATATATAGTCGAAGAGATAAATTATAAAGCAATTTTTAAATAGAAATCACTATGAATTTTCTGATCAAAGAATCTTACTCCTCAATCCAGTAATCAAAGTCATGTGGCTATTTAAAAAAATAATATCTAAATGTAACACGTCTGTAATTATTGTCGAATCCGAAGCTCCCCATTCACTTCAATAACAGCTACATTCTCAACACATGTTAACAAAATTTTCAATTTTCAATGAATATTGTTAATTAGTATTGAAGGCATTATTTTTACGTGTAGTATTGGTTATGAAATAATAACAAACGAAACATTGAAAAAACAAATAATACTTGTACCTTTAAGTTTGATAATAAATAATTATTGATTTATTTGCTACAGTTCATTCATTATACCTAAATAAAAAATTAACAAAAAAATTGATACAACAGGTCGTACATTTGTTACGTAATATGTAAGCAGGTTCAGCCCCGGATTAAGGTTGGATTGGGCCCCAGGACACCATACACTTAGTGGGCCCCCTTTCAACTTTACCTTCAAAAAATTTTAACACTACATTTTAAAGACTGTATACTTATATTATTATTAATTCTTGTACAAAAAAAAAAATAATGTTTTGTAATAATTTATTATACATACATTAAAATATTATATACATAATATAGAAAACACTGTTTTGTTTTAGTTAAAAAGAATAATAGCTTAAATTTTTTTCCTTGCTTTTTCTTTAGCGAATTTTTGAATCGTTTCATTAAAATCAATCAATTTCAAAATATCATTTTCAGAGTACAATACCATTAAAGATGTTAAATTTTCCTGAGTCTGGCTTGTTCTATATTTATTTTTTATTCTTGTTAATTTGGAAAATGCTCTTTCGGCTGAACAATTGGCCACTGGGATAGTTAAGTATAACCTAAGAGCAATTAAAATATTTGGGAATACTTCCTGCAATGATTTTTCGTAGAACCATTTTAATAAACTAAATGCATCACTTTCATCAAATGTTACTTTACTTAAATGTAAAAATGTTTGAAATTGAATAATTTCATTTTCAAGTGAAGAGTCAACATCATTTTTATATGTAGAAATACAATTCTTAATACTTTTTTGGACTTCACAAAATTCTATTTTTAGAGTTAGATTAATTATATTGCCTCCATATTTAGATAATAAAAACATGGACTGGACAATAAAACGTCTTATCATGTATAAATTATATGGGTACCTTATGCGAATAGATCAAAAATGCCTAATATCAATTATTACCATATATATGTTATAAATTATTAGAATATAATTTTAATATTTATTATCATTTAGTAATTTTTCGTGATATAAAATTAAGAACAAAAAAAAGTATAAAAATTCTTTATAACTATTTTAAATGTATTAAAAACATATATTTTACAAATAAAGATGGGCCCTCAAAATCAATGGGCCCCGGGACCGTGCCCTCCTTGGCCCCCCCCTTAATCCGGGCTTGAGCAGGTTATACCAATGAATCAAAAAAAATATAAGATAATGTCTTCATGAATAATCACCTAAAAATCAATTTTAAGCGATGTATCGTTAAAACATTCAATAATTATAAGTACAGAATGGTAAAAAACAAAAATTTCAGTAATCAAGAATTCATTTTAAGATAGTAAATTAAAACCTGTAGTTATTACAACCTCAAAAATTTGCCCAACGACGATGTATGGTCAATACACTTAATAATAATAATATTATGTTAACGGTCTTTTCGCCATATAACTATGATTCGTGACAATGACGCAAACAAGGGTAGAAAGGTCCCGGATTCCGAGTCTAAAACCCTCCTCCCTTAAGTATTTCTTAAGTGGAATACTACATTAAAAAATATGTTGGTTATATAATTATATAATAATTACTGAGGTAGGTTTAAGTAATATAATATATAATATAAATAAAATATAGATTATTAATTAAAATTATATAATAATTAACTCAAAAAAAAAAAACAGGTTACCACTAGTAGAAAAAATCCGCGTCACTAATTCGTGATCAACATCATATTGATTATAACTTATATTATTATTGAAAAAAGTTTATAAAAATTTGTAAAGCGCTCTGTATTTTGACATTTACATAGGAATTTAAATCTAACCTATCTTAAATAGGTATATGATCGGAACTTGCGAATTTTATACACCGTTTTTAAACTGTTTACATCATACGAATGGCCTTTTTGATTAAACATAGTGTAAATTCATGACTAACTTTTGTTATAATGGTTTATTTTTATAGTATGCTGTAAAACATGCAATAAATAACAATAATAACGGTGGTAGTCTTAATACTTGCTAACATTAAACTGCCTTAGTTTACGTCCATTTCAGGAGTATATCTAGCACGTGTCGTCATAACAACATTAAATCTTGCATAAGGAATCATATTTGATGCTAAATAATATGTCACAACGTTAATCATTTTTTATTTTAATAAATTTAAATTAACTCGTCATTTAGATTTATCTATTATTTTTTTTTTTTTTTTTTTTTTAATAATAATTTTATATTAACCAGCAGTGATACGATGTGATGGTGAAAACTACAACGCTCTCGACAGATATTTGTAGTAAAATTAAACATAATTGTTTTTTCTTTCTTAATTTAAATAACTCTGTAGTCAAAAAATAAAAATGACATTATTATAATTAAAATGTTAATCATTTTTTACTTTTATTGATTTATGGAAAATTTTATTATTGGAAGTTTTGATTAGAACCCGAAAATATATTTAGTACATAAGTATAAAATTCGATGTGGCCTGTCTATATGTACTAATATAAATAGTGGCGTCATCGCATCGAAACTATTTATTACATAGGGAGTGAAAAATAGAGGGTGCCTTCATTCCCCTCCCAAAGAAACGTATATGAGTGAAGGACTTAACCCTCCTGTGTTATTTATTTTTACTTTTTAGCCAGTGCTCGAAATGTTAAGATAGTAAATTAGAAATTATAATTTTAATATCATTATATTTGATCATATATTTTGCAACTTTTAGAATATTAAAAATATAAAATAAAAGTTAAAAATAAATATTAATAAAAAATGTATAATAAATACAAAATTAACTTATTAAACTATAAAAACAATATAAAATTTAAAAAAATTCTACTTTTTCTACTTTAATTGTCACATTTTTAGAGGAAGGGGCGAAATTATGTTTGCCCATCCCCAATTATGTCATTAAAGGGAAAACGACTTTTCCTACTTTCTCCTTGTTTAATAACTAATGTATACAAGTAATACGTATACTATACGCCTATACGTATTACTGTACTTTTTCTATGATTGAGTATAAATTTAACAGATACCTAAACAACATATTAACTAAATGGGTACCTAAGTGTAAATACTTAATAAAAAGACAAATCGAAAAAGTCACTCTGAATATTAAATGCTTCAATATAAGATGTTATTACAGGTTTGATAAATGCAAATATTATACGTATTACTTAAATAAATATAAATTATTATCATTTATCACGTATAATGTTAATATTCTGTGTTGATGTTATATAGTGTGTCATGACAATAAATAAAGAGTTTATAAATATAAAAGAATAAGAATGAATAGATTTTGTGTACATAATAAATTTTCAGTACTTATTTAACAAAAAAAAAAAAAAAAAACAAAATCGATCTCCTTATTCAAAAAATGGTTTGCATAATTATCCCGATTTTCTTTAGATTTTCCTGATTATAATGAAAAGAACAGGTAATTTTTTTTTCTTCAAAGGGATATGCAGAAGTACCGATTTTTGAAAAGTCACAGCAAGTTCTCTCGTTAAATAAAATATGGATCTAATTTGCTTGCTATCAGATATGCCACAGCTCAATAATAAAATTTAAAGCCATATAAGTAATTAAAAGTACTCAATATTATCAAAGGTAATTTAGTAAAACTGAAATTAATATATATAAAATATAAGAAGGATAAACAATAATAATAAATACACAATACTTTCATATAATCTTAGTTATATACAGAATAACAGAATAACATTAATATTACCCGTTTATTATAATATTATATACTTAAAAAAAACGTTTAGTAACATTTATGTGACTATTTATACGGCAATCTACTAATTTTATTTGAATAACTGTTGGAGAGTAAAATATAGTACTTTTAAACGATTTAAGCAATAATCGTTATTGATCTATCCAGTTTCATAAACTATGAAACTTAATAAAAATAATTACTTCAAAAATAGTTATGCTTTATGTCTTGGCTCCGTGATAATACAAAATTAATATAAAATTCACACGTTAAGGATATATGTAATATTATGTATATTATAATAATAAAATATAAATACGATAATAGTGTGAAACACTATTACATGTCTTTACAAGAATATAATTTATTTACTGAGTAATTAAAATATAATTCTTTTTTATGTGCCACAATATGTAGGCAGTTGAAAAATGCTTTGATTTTTAACTTTGAATGGTTTGGTAGTAAATTGGACTTAGTTTGTACTTTAAGGAGGTAAAATATATCCATCATTTATTTTTTCTATGTTAAGATAAATACATTTATATACTATTTGTCAAAGATATAATGTGTATGTTGCTAAAATTCTAAAGTGGTGATCTATCTGAGAAAACAATGCAGCCTATCGTTTAACATTGATGTTGTCAAGCAGCTGGTACGTTCATATCCCCATTCCGTGTTACAAAAAAATTTTTATTGGACATTTTTTTTTTTTTTTTACAGATTTTAGATATTTTTATTTCTTAAATTTGTAGGATTGATAGAATCCAAATTGATATGCAAAAAAAATCATTTAAATAGGCAAAAGCAATGTTGTATTGGTATTGAAAATGTATTCAATAAAATATATGATATAAAATTAATTAAAAATAATCAGAATAACGCTATTTTTATAAGATTTTGTTTGAAAAGTACTATATTATTTTTTATATTAAATTATTCTGTGGTGGGTAACCAGCATGAGCTATTAATATTAGTTTTAGGTTTTCGAAATGAAAACTCGGTCACAGAGTTATCTGAAGTATTCATCATCAATGGTACAGCGTCATGGTAGCTTATTAGTTATAATCGTCACGACTAATA